AATTACCATAACGCGCCAGATGAGCAGATACTGAGTGCTGTTTTATCCGATATCTAAACTAATTTTATTCCCGAGGAAGAAAAACACTTTAACACACATTTGCGTTTTGACACTTTTTCCTTTTACCACTTTTTTTTCACTAAAATTTTCTATGCTCTTACGGCGGACAAAATTTTTTCTTTTCTTTTCTTTTTTTTTAGCTACTACTGCTGCTCTTGTTGTTGTTGTTGTTGCAGTTGTTGAAGATGCGGTGTATCCGTATCTGTTGGATACTTGCGCGCACGACGCTCGGCAAACGATGACTGAAATTGGGAAATTCTCGTGCGGAGCTGCCCAGCTTCAAAGCAGCATCCAGCGGCAGACGTCGGCCAGCGACACGACCAGCGTCTAGCGTTTCGGCTCACGGCTCTCGTCACAGCATCGCAGCGTCGGGGCGCAGGTTAAACGAATATCCTGCGCTGAAATCGAGCTGTGTGCAGGATGCAAAGACAGACGTTTGCCTACTCGTTGTTAAAGGACTCTCGCTGTAGAAGTTATGGCGGCAAAAGCTGTTGCTGTTGGCTCCGCATGGCGGAGGCGCTGCGTGGGGTGGGGCGTGATGCTGGCTCAGTGGCGCGCTCTGTCGGTCGGCGTTTGGGAAATTAATGCAAGCTGCTGGAAATTTAATTTAGCTGCATGGCAAATGGCAACAGTGCCATTGGCGGCAGTGGGCGTTTGGCTATGGGCATGGCCGTGCGTCAGCTTAGCCTGCATTACGTTTCCTTTTTCAATTTGCGCCTGCAACGCGCCTCAAGTGCAAGTGGGCCCAAATGCCCGCTGGCCCGCTGGCCCGATGGCCCGTCTTGCCTTGTGCCACAGTCACAGACAAAGATATAGCTATGGATGCTCATGGCTGTCTCAGACTTAATGGTGGCAACGTATTGGATTCAGTTGTGTCCTCGCCGCCACTTGCGTCTGCTGCTACTCCCCCTGCTGCTGCTCCTGCTGCTGCCTGGGCGCGTGCGTCTGTAATTTCATCTAATCAGTTGCACGGATGCGGCATAAATGGATTTATCATGCTACCAACTCGCGCGCATGGATAATCTGTGGCCTAGCAACTGGTTGACGCTTGTTTTTCTTGTTATTGCCAAACAGCTCAACAGCTGCTGCATCCTGTTGCCTCTTCATTGGATTTGATTAATTTACCAATGAATCGAGTTGTCCCCCAGCAAGTAATTGGATATTGCATACAGTTCTATTGACAGCTAATCGCCAGCTAGTTGTTATATATAAGTTAAAGGTCAGTTCTATTTAAAAACTAGCATACCCTCATTATGAAATTATCAAGACATAGATATGGTATCCCAATGTGTGTAAATAGCACAGCTTATACAATTTTCTGCAAAAATGAGGGGAGTTATTCAAGAGAAAGAAATAGTTCATTTGTCTAGCTCTTTTAAGCTCTGACATATGCTCAATTAAAAGTATGGCGATATCAATTTGGATCGATTTCATGGAAACAGGACAAGTTATAAAAAAATCTCTAGGTGGAGCTCGTGAATAATTTCAAGAATCCACTTCTTATCTGAGAGAGACGCGTTCATATATATGAACGGATGGACAGGCATGCATATATTTCTATTGCAGAAAATCAAAACAAAGAATATACAAACTATAAAAAACCAACAATCATAATAATAATGATAATAACAATAAAATAAATTATTTAAATAAATTAATAATTTAAAAAATGAATCATAAATAAAAGTTTAGTTAGCCTTGGCTTAGTTAAATGGACTGCTTCAAATACCTGATACAGGTCATTCAGAGACAAATTGGAACATTGTGTGTATGACGACATGTCGACAGGTAGACTTAACAAACAGGTATGTATATCAATTGTCTCCTAGGCAAAAGTACCATGCAGTGCAGTCTAGTAAACAATAACAAAAACGAAGCCGGAAGTTACATATTTATCAACATCAACAGTTTGCAAAGAACACTATAAAGTCGCAAAGGTCAGAAGTTGATGCAATTCAGTTTATTAAAGTGCTTGGCATGCCTTCGTATTTATCCACTCAAAATAATATAATCTCCTATTCCCAACCGCCGCAATTTTAGAACAACAACAACAAGAACAAGTTAAATAATCCATTTGGGCACGCATCATTAATATCTTGATCCACATACCGACACAAGCGGACATTAGCATTCATTAGAGGTTCCATCAGAAGCACATTTCTTGTTGCTTTTAATAGAAAATCCTCCGCCCAGTACAAGCACTTTTGAGTGGCACGGCAATAAGTCAAAATGCAAAAAACATCAACTCGAACGATCGCGGCAAACGGAAGTCACAGATAGTATATACACACGCAGATATATAGGCTTGTATTTATATAGAATCACGTATATACTGAGAGACTATCTATCTATACATGAGTATATATTTAGCGAGTGTCGCAGACAAGAAAAGCGACGACAACAACAACAACAACAGAAGTCGCGACGTCAAAGACCGATCGCAAGGAAAATTCGCTTGTACTTGCCGATGTTTTGCTTTATTTTGATTTTTTTTCACGAAAAACTGCGCCCGTAAACGGGGCCGTAAAATGTTTAGAGCTGCGCAAATTGTAAATATGTGAATTGCACATAAAAGCGTCACTAGTTGGGCGACGTCTTTGTTTTTAGTGCGTGTATCTTATGGATACACAGCATTTGGCAACTAAGCGGCTGCAGTTGCCGACAAAAATAACACGCCTTATTTATAAAACACAAAATTGCATGGAATGGGGGAAGTGGGGGGGAGGAAAACTCACAGCGGCATACGGCGCGTGCCAGCGTGCAACACGCGCCCTTCAATCCGTTTCGAGTCTACGGCAAATCTCTTAATGTATCTGTATCTGTAGCAGTAGCCGTTAATGTATCTGTATCTGTGGCTGACGCAGCTTGCACTTTCAATTCAATTATAGTCACTTAAATCCGCGCACGTAGCTCAAATAAAAATAAGCATTTATTTATTATATTTATATTTATTTATATTCTTTTTGTATATCTTGCGACAGCGCTGCGGCGACAACTGAGAGACGCAACCGTCGACTGGCAACTGAGGAGCCGAGCACGTCGAGATCGACCCCAGACGACCAGACAAATCCCAATCGTTGGATTTTCTGCTGCTATTGCTGCTGCTGCTGCTGCCGCTGTTGTTGTTTCTGCTGTTTTTCTGTAATTTTTCTCAGATTTTTCTCACGGCCGCTCGCCGCCGCTCAGCGCCGCTCGCCAGCATCCTTGTCTGTTGTTGTTGCCGCTTGTCATTTAACCCTCAACCCTGCTGCGTCTCGCTGTGCCTTTAGTTTGTTTGTTTGTTTTTACTGGCGTCGCGTCAAGTGGATTCAACGCAATTGACTTGTGAGCGTCTGCACACACACACACACACACTCATACACAGCGGGTGTGCCACAATGCCACATTACCTTGTCTCACATTTCTACCTGCTCGCAGAGTCTATCATCGAAAATTCATGGCATTCCTGTGCCTGCGATCAAAGCATGCCCTATAAGATTTATACTATGTTGCAACTGTTGCTGATTGTTGCAGCCTCCGGAGTTATTTTTAGTGTTGCCTGCGACAATATTTCTTGTGGTAGCTGCGAATGTAATTAATGAGCTGCTGCCACAAAGGCGACAACTGCACTTCTCACTCTGCTCCGTCTCCAACTCCATATCCAACGCCGCTTAAGCGGAAGTGTGCCTCAGCTGAATATTGAAGCTAATTACAGTGGACACTGTGCTGTTTTTGGTGCATAAAAAGCCAAAGGTAGAGTTACGAGAAAGTAGGATTATTATTGAAGTGTCAAAGATAATATATTTATTGCATAAACCAGATCAGCAATATATTTGGATACATGGCCATTTATTAAAAAAAGATTGTTCCCATAAAGTAAATAATATATTAGTCCGGTTTCATAAGATTTTGCTCATAATGACGCTTGTTTTCGAGTGATTGTTCATATGGGAGATATACGATCGTTTGCTACTATATGTATTTGTTTTTTGACGAGCAGCCAGTATGGCAGCTATATGATATTGAGCAATAACTACGATAGATATTGCCTGCAGAGTGATCTATATCAAGCTCAGTCAAGTTAGTACTCAAACTGAAGAAATAGATTTATTTGCTGTGTTATTTATGAAAAAACCCCTTTAGTTCATGTGCTTAATTACTAGAAATGCGCTTTCAAAATCAATTCTCATTAGCTTAGGGAATGCCAACTCTGGCAGCTAAATATTTATTTAACTTAGATACTAAGCACATTATGGACTATTCAGAACCCTGATATAAGACAGGCAGATGGACGGATAGGCAGACGGTAGATCGACTCGTCTATTGATGCAGTTGAGAATATATGTACTTTGCGGGGAGATGCTTTCGTCTACCTGTTACATATATGTATATATATGCACAAATATATTGTACCCTCTTTACCGATTTGCAATCGGTTCGGGATATGAAAATAAATATTGAATTGATTTTAAATAACTTCTTAATAATTAATAAGCTAAAGACAAGAAGACCTGAAAACCAAACAATTTAGCAACAATTTAGCATTTTTCAAGTACCTCCCAACGAACTTTGCAATCGAAAACGTTTTGCCCACGTTAAAAGCCTTAACCAGTTAAGAATTGCAAGCGAATTCGTAAATATTAAAAATTACAGGTTGCATACCAAGATCCTTTCCCGTGAGCTATTATATATAAATAACACATTTTATTTAATTTCGTATTTTGCTCATTAAGAGAAAAGAATGTATATATACCCAATTCAATTTTTAAATAAACATTTTCATTGTATTTTTTTTACATATTTAAACAGAAGTAGCGGCTTGTTTGATTTATAGATGTTTATATATACATAATGTAAAAAATGTATTTGTATAACAATTCGAGCTGTAGATTGTTTTTAATGTGCTCCGTGTCTTTCTTTTTAGAAATTGCCATATATACACATTTTATTTTTGTGCAGTTTAGATTGATTCACACCCACAGTGCGCCGATCGTTTGGGTTGTTTGTGTTTTGTGTTGGATCTGTTCACGTTTCAAGTAGCTGCCAGGTCATGTGTTGTCACCAACAATTTGTTTGTTTATTTTTTGCGCCCCTGGTTTTTGCGGTTATCGTTTTGCGTTGGCTTAAAAACTGTGAAACACGCCTTATGGCGCCAGAACGCACAGAGTCGAGCGCATGTCAAGTGGCCAAGCAGTCGCTTGCCCAAAACCCAGTCCGCATCCTGGTGTCCCTGTGTCAACTGTCAACTGTCAGATTGTGAGCATTGTTTACGTTTTGTGGCGGCACCTGCGCACTGGACACATAAACAAGCCGAGCAGCCTGTACCAGCCAGTGATGATGGGATGCAAACAAGTGGCTGCGGGCACCACGTGTTCTTGTCACGAGCACGCGACAAACTGTTGCCCTTGCGGTTGGGGTGGCGTGGGTAAAGGGGACCTACTGCCCAGCGCCCCTCATTTTGAATATATCGATTGAGGCAGGACATGCGCAATGGGCTCCAGTGCTGACTGCTGCTGCTGCCCGACATATCGAAGGAAACTCCTTTTGATGTAGACACAATAATTACGAGCCATAACGTACAGCGACGGGGCATGCCACTGAAAAAGTATCTGCTGCGTGTGCAGAACGTTCCCGTGCTTCGTCTGAAACGGTTCACAACAGTTTAGTGCGCTTCACTGTGTGTTTGTGTGTGCCTGTGCTTAAAGAGAAATTGTTAATAAAAAAAAAAAATTTAAAAATTAACAACAAAATTTGTTGCTCGTTTATTTGTCATCATTTGTAGTCGCATTATAGTCCTTAAAAATATTATCTACATACACATAAATTTGCTTTTTGCATATAATTTGCTTGACTGTGTGTGCGAGTCATCGACTGTGTGTGTACGCGCCCGTGTGTGTGTATATGTGGGTGTGTTGCTTTCTTTGCTTTGCTTGACTAACACGCACAAACACTCCCACTCATACATAGACACATACGCAAACCAATACTAGTACAGAGCCAAGTACACACATTTGTGAAAAGTGAAAGTGAAAGCCCCAACTCGGAGGAACGAGACGAGCCTTGAATACATCTATATATATATATATTCATATATATACTTATATACATATATTTTTGACATCGCCAACGCGCTTAGAAAAGTAATTTGCCCAGAATTAAAATTTTGGCCAGCATTTGCTGAGCATATTTCAATTTTAAATCCAATCTTAATCCAAGCAGCCCTCGTCCTAGCACCCTGCTCGGCGCCCCCTCGTATTTATGCGTAGCACATACAAAGTTTTGCACACACTTATACACAGCACATTTGGGAGTCACCCCGTCCAGCTACACCCCAACCCCCCTCGCTCCTACATATATACCCCCGCATGCTGTAAATTCAATAACGTACTTAATTTCCTTCACATCTTTTTAAACTGATTTTGTAAATTTAATGTTTCATTTCGCTCGATATGTATGCGGCCTTGCAAATTTTCTGTCGAACTTTCCAAATTCTTGCAGTCAAAATGATATAATATTAAGCACGCTGACGGATCTTGAAATCCGTTGGAAAAAGACTTTATTACATTTTTCAACTGGGCCAGAAATCAAAATCATTTTGCAACAGGTAAGTAAATAATTTTAATTTCAATGTTTTTTGTTGGGAATATTTTTACACCATTTTCAATTTTTATTATGATAAGACTGAAATTTTCATGTTCGGAACACTTAAAGGCTTTTCCTTTAATTAAATAATAAATTAAAATTTTTGATTAATAATATGCCTACTTAAATTTACTTTTTGGTGTAATACAAAAGTTAAAATGGCATGTTAAGCTTTTCAAATATTTTTTTATTAAAATGCAACTAAAATGTTATTTTTAATAGTTTTCAATCATTAATTAATTAAAATTTCAGGTAAATATTTTGTAAATTAATTTCTTTGAATATTCTTTTTAAATTTTTGGTAACCTGCATTCATTAAAAATATTTTTTTAAACTTTCACCATTTTTAAAATATCAACAAAATTCAGGTAAAATGCAAAAGCTTGAAAAGTTTTTTAATTAGAAAATATGTTATCATTTTGTAGATTTCTTTAAATAATTTAAAATATAAACAAAAATGTTGTTTATTTAATAAGAAAATTCAGGTAACATGAATTTTAAAAATATTTACTATATTCACTTATCTATCATACGTAGTTTTGGACCCCAATTTGAAGTTATATCATGCTGCATGTTCTCCACTCTGTTTTGTTAGCCTGAAAATGTGCAACAATTTTCGGCACAAAAAGTTGTAACGTGAAACAACCCTGCGAGAGTGCCCTTTCCACTGACTGACCATACATTTATTAACTGGTTGTTGTAGGAACTATTGTTGTTCTTGTCTCTGTCGTTCTTTTTGTTGTTGTTGTGGTCCTTGTATCATGGCTCTTCTCGCCATTGTAATTGTAATTTATTTGACTTTGCTGCTCTCAAGGACATATCCAGTGCAGGTGCTACACGCACGACAGCACACAGACAGCTAGAGACGACAACTGCCAACAGTGTGTTGTGTCTCGTTGTGAGTGTGTGGTTGTGCGGGTGGCTGTAGTTGTCTGTGCGCCTGAATTACAATTTAATTACTTTGGAAATCCTCGTTGACTTAAAGGATCAACGCGAGCTGCGTTGAATCAGGCTCGTATATTTATAGCATATTTCCTTTTTTCAATTAAATTGCGCTTTGGCCAACAATTAAACCCACGGCTCATGCTCAATTTCCGACCCACGCGCCTCGCTTGGGCAAGTCAATGCTTAAATGTCAACTGGCGCCTCTCCCTCTGACTCACCTTCTCTCTCGTTGCAGTAAACCCAAATGCCAGAGGCATTGATATTACCCGGCATGGCTGACGCAGAGCCGGACCTATCAACGTTCGAGAATAAAACGGGACTCGCCGAGGACATGAAGTTTCTGGCGTCCATGCCCGAGCTATGCGATGTTACCTTCCTCGTTGGTGACACCCGCGAGCCCGTCTGCGCCGTCAAGGTAGGTGTGTGTGTGTGTGAGTGCGTGCGTGTGTGTCAGTGGGCAGGTTGGTGGTAAATGGATGTGCGGGCGTGCTGAAAATCAGGTCACTGCGTAATCGACGTAGCATCCATGTTTATCAGAGCCCTTAATTACAGTTCTCCACTCTGCCTTCTTCCCCTTTTACTCCTTCTGCCCGCAGGCTGTGCTGGCGTCGCGTTCGCGCGTTTTTGCCAAAATGCTGTATGCCGCACCATCGCCGCAGCGGAAGAGGGAAACCACCACCAAGGAGAACAAGCTGCGACTCTTCCTCAAGCGCTCCTCGGAGCCCCTGCTGAATCTACAGAATGCGGCACAACAGGTTCGTATTCATAATCGATTAACGTTGACGGGGGGCTAGAGTGGGCGGTCGGCTGCTTGTGTGAGTGGGACAATAATGCCCATGTGTATGCGGATGTGTCTGTGTATGTGTATGTGCATATGGGCTGTGTATGTGTGTGTGTGTGTGTATGTGTGGGCTGATTGGGGCATCTTTTGAATATTTATAATGTTAAGCTTTTCAGTTATTTTCCCAATTGGTATTATATTTTAATATATTGTTTTGTACATTGCTGTAAATATTCACAAAATGAAGAAGAAACAAATATACGTTTAATAATATTCATGTAATTTTTTTGTGCATTCTCTGTTGTGACTCCATTCCCAAACATCCAAACACATATATACAAAAATATAAAACCCATTATAATAGAGAACCGGTTTCACCCAACAATTAGCTCCGATACCCGAGGTAAACGCCTAGTATGTGTATGTGTGTGTGTGTGTAATGTAAATAGTTGTTATTACCAATGTGTCCTAGTAACTACTTAGTACAGTAAACGCTCAGAAATTAGAACTTGCTAAATTAATAAATTTCTGGAAATTTAAATCTATATATTCAATGCAATTTATCTTTGTGATATCAAGTAATGAAATAATCATAATATTATTATTTAATAAAGTTACAATTATTTACTTTGCTTTTCTCTCGGCAAATGAAAGTCTACTTTGCGAGCGTTCACTGTACATGCTGTGCGTGTATATGTTGTATATAGTATGTGTGTATATGCTTAATGGCAAGTAATATGAGTAGAGACTTATTGAACTGCATTATAAATTATATTTATTTATATGTGTCCATTAACTCTCTTAAAAAAAATCGGACACAAAACAAATACATGTTTGATTATGATTATGATTCCTTATGTATTTTTTTAAATAAAGACTCGAAGACTCCAAAAATTAAGGCTGTGGATTTATTAATTTTGACTGATTTTAAATTTTGACTTTGAATTGCACATAAAGATTTGGTGCATTAAATTGTTACTCAAATGTAAACTGAAAGCAAATATTGCTCTTCAATTTACAAATATTTCAAATTTGATTTATCTTTAACTAAGAAAAAGTTGTCCGCATTATTAAGTCCGCCTTCTCATATTTGTCTTAAAAGTTATTTGACTTAATTTGTTTGTATTCTCTACGTAGCTCCTTTAAATGACTTTTCCGATTTGCTATTGCTCTTTTGAAAACCTCTCTCTGATCTGCTGAAATAAACCTTCTATATCTTCTAAATCTACCTACTATTAAAAATAAATATGTATGTGTCCCGTTTGCTTTGTGTCGCTTGCCGTGTGCACTACAACTTTTAATGAAGTTCTATAAATACACCGCGTTATAATCCACATTCTTTTGGAGAGCTCATGTTTGGTTACTTTTCAACCAAATCCAGACATGAAACTTGCCTTCTATTAAAAGTTTATAGTTTTATTAGCTGTCTTATCAGTATGTTGTAGGCCGTAGTCAATAAACAGCTCTCTAGCTAGCCTCTTGCTTATCTCACCCCGTCGTTGCAGCCCTCTGGTCAGCAGCATCAAACGCTGATCATTGAGGAATTCGAACCGGATGTCTTCCGTCAGCTCATCGAGTACATTCACACGGGCTGTGTGACCCTGCAGCCGCGCACTCTGCTGGGTAAGTACTGGATGGTGTTCCCTGAGGATCCTTACCTAAATGTGTTTCTTTCAGGCGTCATGAATGCGGCTGATTATTATGGCCTGGAGGAACTGCGTCGCGCCTGCGCTGGCTTTGTGCAGTGCTGCATTAATGTGGACACCGTATGCGCCCTGCTGGCCTCCGCCGAGCGCTATATTCAATACAAGTGCACCAAGACTCTGGTGCAGAAGGTGCTGGAGTTTGTGGACGAGCATGGCAATGAGGTTTTGAATCTGGGCAGCTTCACGCTGCTTCCACAGCATGTGGTCCGTTTGATTCTCGCACGGGAGGAGCTGCGGGCCGACGAGTTTACCAAGTTTCAGGCGGCGCTGATGTGGAGTAAAAAGTATTTTGACAACAATCCAGTAAGTGGGCGAAAATTCCCTAAATTATTTATAGGGTTTGAACCAATACATCCGCTCGAACTATGTTTTGGCTTGAGCTGTTTGAGTTTCATTTCGATTGTATTAGCCCGAACATGTTGGCTGACTCAAGCAGTGCGATACTCGAAAGCAGGGCCCAAGTTCAAAGCGTGTTTCGAACTATTTACGAATTATCTAATATATTTATGACTTTTAGAACATTGACATCAAGGAGATACTGGGCACATTTCTGGAGTACATACAGTTCCATAAGATACCCGCCAATGTACTGATGCGTGAAATCCATCCATTAAATCTTGTACCGTACGCGATCATAATGAATGCTCTGGCCTACCAGGTGGGTTGTGTGCTTAATCGTCCATTTGCTGTTGGCTGCTTTGGTGTTTAACTCAGTATCATTCATGCTGCATCATTTATCTATCCATCTGCTTCTATCTATCTGTCTATCTGTTCTATTTATCCATCTATCACCCATCGCCCATGCTATCCATCCTGTTGTCCCCCTTTATGTCTGATTCTACAACTTGCAGGCAGACCCAGAAAGCATCGACCCCGGAAAGCTGTCTCCCAACTCTAGCCGAGTAAGGCGTGCCCGTCAGAATCAAGGCAGATCGATGTCCGTGCAAAGCTCCCTGGATCCATATGGCTCCAATACCACGCTTAGCTCCAGCGGCAGCAGCGACCCCACCAGTGGGCCGCATCACAGCAACTAACATAGGTTGAACGGCCCCTCCTCCTCCTCCTCGTCCCATAACCAGCAGCACCGCCATCGCCACCATCACCAGTCCCTGCCCAAGATACGCAAGGCCAAGTCACAATCGTTCCGCACGCGCCGCAGCCCCTCCGAACGCCGTAGCCCCAATGTACCTACGCTCACACTGAATACGAGCGCGCTTAATGGTGAGAAGAAACGCAGTCCATTGACACCCAAGAGCCCGGTGTTGCCGCAGCCAGAGTCCAAAAGTCCCGGAAGCAGTTCACAGAAGACGCCCACCACGCTCTCCCGTCAAGGCACCCTGCGCACCTCCAGTCGACGCAAGAACAGCGGCCAGTTGACCATTTCGTTGAGTGCCCAAAATCAGGGCCGGCGTAGTCCAGTGGGTCTGAATGATCGCAGCCCACAGGGCAGACGCAGCCCGCTCTTTCCCAGCAGCGGCCTGAGATCGCCCAATGACCAGCCCAGTCCGACGGCGAGAAGTCCAACGGGTGATTCACAGCGTCGCAGTCCAACCTTCAGCATACAGATACATACGCAGGAGCGTCGCTCGCCACTGGGCGCTGTGGCACCCACGGACTTTAGTTGCCAGGCAGGGCCATCCAATACCAGACGCAGTCCGACATCCACCGTGCATGTGCAGGACATGGCCACAGAGCCGGAGGAATCCGGCTTCAGCGGAATGAAACGGCCGTCGATAAGTCTCTTTACGCCCATCTATTTTGCCAGTGAGAAACGTAGTCCGATGGGTTTTATACCACCCATTACGGTGTCCAACCCCGCCGAGACCTACAAGAGTGCGGAGCGCGAACGTGAAGCAGCCGAGGCGGCAGCTCGGGAGCGGGAAAAGGAAGCTGCCCAGGCACAGCCGCAGCCCGAAAAGAAGAGCGTAATGCGCGAAATACTGGCCTTCGTGCGCAAGCCCTCCAAGCATATAACCACGCGCACCAATCGCTTCGCGAATGCATTCACGCGTGCAGAGTCCGGCTCCTCAAGCGGACCGCTCATACGACAGAGCACCTTCTCGGCCAGTCCGGCTGCCTCGTCGACGGCCGCCAAGAGTGCCGTGCAGAAACAAATGTCCGAGGTGGGCTTTGAGCCGAAAATGTCACTTAAGTTTGCCCACTACACGAAGATGTCGCTGAAGTTGCGTCGCCTGGCGCGCCGGGAGGAGGAGGAGAAGCAGCAGCAGCAGCAACAGCAGCAGCAAAAGTCATCGACAGTCAGCTCGGCGGCGGGCTCGAAGCGTGCTAGCACGGATTCCAATGCGGGAAATGCACAGGAGCAGGTAGGTGCCATTGAAGTAGAGGAGGAGCTGCCATTCGAGCTGGCGAATGTGCACTTTGAGAAGGTAGGTGAGTCCTATATCAAGCATGAGCGACTCCGCGAACTGGTCGAGCCCGAACTGGAGCCAGAAGACGAAACAGAAGATGGCGAGCCTGAGCAAACGGATGCCGCCATGGCACAGTTTGTCGAGGAGGTGACCAATTCCCTCAAAGTAGTCGCACTCAATGGCGATGGTGGTGTGCCGGCCGTGCATCATTTTACGCGTCGCTCCGAGAGCCGGGAGCCCATTGAGCCGCGGATTAGCGAGGAGCGTGAATCCGATTCGAATGATCTGATTATACCCGAGGAGCTGCGCGCGGAGCTTGTGGAGATTTTGAAGGCCTATGCACCAGAGCCAGTTTATGTTAATCTGCAGGCGCTGCGGCGTGAAACCGAGGAGGCAGAGGCGGTGGCACGTGCCGTTGCAGAGGCAGCTGCTGCTGTGGCAGCGGCTGCCGAAGCTGCTGCAGCTGCAACGGTGCCGCCGGCGCCCGAGAAGCTACCGCTGCAGTGTCCTACTATTGAGTTTGAGCCGCCATCGCGTCGTTCGTCTTTCGATCCGCCGCGTTCGCCGTTCCTGGAACAGCTACGCAGTCCGGGCGTCGATACGGATACAGATCTGATCAATCTGCAGCGCCTTGACTCCGGCGGCGACAGTTTCGAGATGGTTGAGGGCGATCGGAAATCCAGTCGGGCCGAATCCAGTTTCGATTGCCCCTATTCCTCGCGTGACACCAGCTTCGATGTGTCCATATCGCGCTATCAGTCCACCAGTTACGAGGATCAGACCTCAAGCTTTGAGATTGTCGACACGGACGATCGCCGGCGACACATCGATCTGCGCAAGAGCTCCATTGAGCTGGTCGATGCGGAGACCTTTCAGCGTTCGGGCTCTTCCTGCGGCCGCAAGTCTTCGCTTGAGACGCACTTCGACTACACGCCTTCGGAGACGAGCGGCATCACGCCGGCCCGTTCACCAAATTTTCCCATGACCAAAAAGCAGAAGGCCGAACATTTCCGCCAGCTGCACATCTCGCCCTTCAGTGCCTTCTCGCGGGCACGCAGCCCGCTCTCACAGCAGACCTCCTCCAATTACAGCTCGCGCGATAGTTACGATTCCAGCTCATCGTATCCGCATGGTCATGAGCCGCAGCGCAGCCCTTACGCTGATCCCAGCAAGAAGCACTTTCCGCTGACCATCAAGCAGCGCGAGGAGGAGGTCAAGACTTTTCTCTGCACCGATTTGCGCTGCGCCTCGATCTTCGAGCCGCGTCCCAGCTCTGTGCTCACACAGCAACTCTCCACGGGCTCCATGTCCACGCCTTCAGCCTCCGGCTACACCAATGCACCGCGCATATCTAGTGCTATGGGCGCCCCGTTGCCCGCCATTGGTGTTGGCGTCGGTGTCGGTGTCGGCGTCGGCGTTGGCGTCGCTGTCGGTGTTGGCATTACCCATGCAAATGCCTCGCGTGGCTCCTGCGGCTTTTCCAGCGGCAGCGAATTCGAGCCTCCCTCACCGCGACGAGCCGCGAGCGCCTCGCCCAAGCATACTTTCACATTCCGCATCGTGATGAAAAAGGTTGACAGCTCACCGGAGGCGCTGTGCCCGGAGCGGCATCGTTCCCGCATCATCGATCGCTATCGGCGCCGCGACAGTCGCCGCAAGCGCATCCAAGATGCGGGCAAGAGTTTCTAGGCGGCGGATCGGGGGCACGAAGTGAACCAAAATGCTTAAAGTTTTGTGTGCCTAGTTAATAGACGTACTTGCTAAGTTTTGAGAGAGAAATTTTGAAATCATTCTTAAAGTAATTAAAGTTCGACTTCCGAACGAAGCGAACAACCCATTCCTATCTTATGATCAACTATTCCCAGGCAGCAATCTCAGTATGTCCTGCCGGAAATATATTCATTTAGCAGGGCGTACATATTTTTGACAATCTAAATGTTATTGAATCCAAGAGTTTTCCAACAACTCGCCTCTAGTCGTAAGTTATTTGAAAATCTTAAAAACTCAAAATGCGAACATCAAACTTTATAAAATGGTTCTGGTTTTAGGCCGTTTCAAAACTCAATGCTAAGTATTTGTAATGACAAAAGCTCTTGAATAAATATTTATATATATATATAGGCTAAGACAGATCATTTTCATATTTAGGCTAGTTATTCTTCATTATTATCATCTTCAAGGATTAAAAGATTAAATGAAAAAAAAGTTTGGTTCAATGCTTGCAAGGTACAAATTAAAATTTACACAAGAAATTTGTTGCAAAAATAGAAAGAACAAAAAAGAAAAACACACAAAATATTCTAAAGATCTACAAAATATATGTGAAACAATAATTCCTCCCACGATTTACCTGATTACTAATTAAACAATAGAGAGAAGAACATCATATATATGATATATGATCTATACTTGCATTAAAGTTGATAACTAAATGTTGTAATGTTTGTGGTATATTATAAACAAATATTACGAGTATGTGCGCATTTTACGTGGTTCCTGTTATATAGATATATTATGTATTACAAATTTTTGATGGACTAGCTATATATATATAAAACTAATATTGTTAAAAGACAAAATGATCAATTCTATAAAGCTATTTAAGTGCTGCTATTGCAAGGGACAACGTTTATTATTTAAACTTAAGACTAAACAAACAAAATCTGACAAATTGAATTAAGCATAACTAATCTATGCTATTTGCTCTATATACATATATGTATATGTTTAGGTACATTTAAAGCTGGGTTTGGGGCCGTACTTAAATCTTAAAAAAAAAAACTTTTGTGCCGAAAATTGTTAGAAAGAAAATGATGTATTTAAAAGAGCAACAAAACATAAAATTATAATATTTCATGTTGTTCGAGCGGTTTTTTGACTTCGTGTTTGCTTGCTAAAATAAGAAAACTCTACATTTAAGCAATCAATGTTAGTTAATAACAATGATCAACTCTGTCAGCATAATTTTTAAAATAGTCAGAAATGAGACAGAAAAGAAATGAAAAAGATATCAACATTTTACAGGTATTTACGCATATAAAGCATTTAATTCTAGTTATATATACACATATGTATTTACACGACATCATGATGCATCAACATGAGCCACATATGCATATGATGGTATATCCATTTTATATACTCTATATGGTACACCATCCTATGCAAATGTAGAACAATTTTTTCGTATGACTAACATGAATGCAAGTAGTTGAAATGTTGCTATTTTGATTTGTAGTTGCTTGATTTTGAAAACTAAAACTAAACGCTTGACAAATCCGTAGTCCTCGAGAGCGATAAGATATCTGATCTAAATTTTGATTTGCCTGTGAATGCCTGGAGTGAGATCTGAGGGGAGATCGAGCCGAGAAAGCACCCAACTACAATTTCACAAATGCGACTTTCTTCTATTTACAGACATTTTATCTAGCGGATTTATTGGATGTGGGATGCACAGGCGTGTCCATAAGCATTTTTATCATACGCTTAGCAATCAAAAATTTATATATATTGGATTGAGAAAGAGAGAGAGAGAGAGGGAGAGAGAGATACAAATAATTGTCCCAGTTCAAATTTAAGTCCAGTCTTCTTCCAGTTGCAGTTGGGAAACGTGTTCTATAGTTCAAGTTTATACTTTGCATTTGTACCGTTTCTATCGTTATCGTTACAGTTATCGAATTATCGAACCTAACATAAGCATATGTATGTGTATTTGAGGACGCAACATTCGTTTAGCCAAATTATGGTTTATGTGCGTTTTATTGTATTATTGAGAAATAAATCCCGATTCAATGTCGTTATTTGAAAAAAAAATGAAGAAAAACATATAAATGTGAAAATTCTTTTTGATATTTTACAAACGCGCATCCGTGTGCAAGGCCAGGACTCCGTCAAAGTCCTCGGCGCCAATGCTAATGTAGCCATAGCCATTGTCATCCACAGTCACCGATTTGCCTGTACAGGCGCCATTCACCAGACTGCCGGAGATGACGTCACAGTATTCGCCAGCTGGCAGGCACGTTTGCAAATGCTCGGACAAATTGTACAGATTATTATTGAAGGCCACAAAGCCCTTGGAGCCGCGACAGAAGGCAATCTGATTGTCACCATTGTCCCACCAGTTGGTCAAAACGGTGCCACGCACGGTGTTCTTGAAGCCCACCATATTGTAGATCTGACGCCAGCGATGCTCACAGATCCAGCCGTTGGTGCAGGCGCCATCCGCATCGAATTCCGGCGAGATAATGCGCTCCTGGGCATCCTGTGGCGGCGCCTGATCGCGATTATCGAAGCCAAAAGAGCTCATCACCTGACTGATGCCGTATGGGTAGGCCAAATGGAAGGCGGTGGCCATTTTGTACTGCTTAGGCGACTTGTAATTGAGCTCCTGCCCACCGTCACGCTGATTGTCATGATTGTCCACAAAGGTCAGTGCCTGGTCCGAGGGCAAGAAGCCCCAATCGGTGCCCCAGCTTTGGAGCCATTTCAGCGCATTGTTGCCACGGAAAGCCTTGCCAATTTCCTCCGAAAAACGGAACTCGGTGACGGCACCAAGGGGTGTGTACTCATCGCGTGAGACTGTCTCATGACCGTGGTCGATGACTTCCTGGTAGATGAAGGGGCGAGCGTTGTTGGGAAAGCCGTGGTCGGTATTCAGGTTACGCACGTTGCTGTAAATATACTATAAAAGGTGGTTTAGCCAAGGGTTCTAGCTCCAAGGACTCGCGATCTTACATCCAAATCGGCGGCAGCCATGTGTTTGGCTGCATCTACTCGGAAACCGGCTACGCCAAGCGTAATTAGATGATCCAGCACTTCAATAAGTTGCTTGCGCACATAATCACTGCTCTGATCCAGATCCTTGAGGCCCACCAGCTCACATTGCTGCACTTGGAAGCGATCGTTCCAGTCGTATATCTCACAGCTGGGATGGAAATCCTGCGCTGTATAGGGCACAGCCGGGAAGGACTTACTGCTGGGCTCGGCCACAGAGCCGCCAGTGCCGTGGGCAGTGCCCACCCAGTCGCCGGACATGTGATTGAGCAGAACATCCACATAGATGCGCACACCCACATCATTGCAGCGGCGCACCATGTCGGCGAACTCCAGCTCGTTGCCGGAGCGTGTGATTAGCTTGTAGGAGATGGGCTGGTAGCGTTCCCACCATGGCCGACCCTCGGATATGATGTTCTCGGCAACGGGGCTCACCTGTACGCCCGCATAGCCATGCGGCGCCAGGAAATTCTCGCACTCCTGCGCAATGTCTGCCCATTTCCATTCAAACAGATGGACAATGGTGTTGCGATTACCCCACCATTGTGGATTGTGCTGGGCCAGCGCCAAGCTGGCCAACATACAGACTAACGTTAACTTAAGCATGTCCCAAGAAACTGTGAGTGGATGCCACGCGACACTTCACTTTTATAGTGGGACCTAATCTAATCATCACTTGACTGCGGGATTTGTTAGCTTCGTGTGGTACCAATTTACAGCCGGGCCAATTGCGAATATTATGCGAATTTATGATAGGCCCAACCAACTGGCGTGTTGACCTATGTTAATAATAGCGCAAAACATTACTCAGAAAAATACCCCAAATATAAAGTAAAAACATTTTAGTTTGTATTATGCATGGTTACATTTATATTAGCAATCTTTTCAATTATAAACACTTCAGAATCGAATAGAATATACTCTATGCACTTCATACTCTGCACTTACCTAATAAATGAGCTGATTCGCAGACTTGAATTCGCACATTTGGTAATTCAATACCTGCTTAATGTATTTGTTTATGTATTATGTATATATGTTTATTTTTCAATTTACCAGTACATTTAAAACAGCAAACGGCCTTAATCGAATTTTAGTTCGACATAATTGTAATCGATAGCAACAAGCGTCTGTCTTGCGATATATTTATCACGCACAGCCTTAACGATATATCGAGATACAATCATTCATTCACAATCACTCATTCACATTTATAAAAGTAGTTTTTACATTCTCTTGTTTAACAAATATTGTCTTAAAACCATAAATAAATGTATTGTGCGTTAGCGGCAAACGAAAGCAACAATTAGCTGTTTTGTTTAGTGTGTTAAATTGTGTGCTTAAGTTTAAACCCTGAAATGCAATCGAAGCGCGCCAAATGTTGCTGAGCGGAGAAAATGTTGCTAAGGTAAGAAAAATGTTGCAAAGCTCCGAACAATGTATCTGTGTTGAATTTGTTGCAGAGTTAGCTTAATGTTGCGAGCCGATACTGAAATGTTGTAAAAATAAAATGTCGCCCACAAAAATTGGCGAAAGCGTATTTAAATTTCGGTATTTGGGCGTTAATTTTCCGGAGTAGTTTATTTAATTTCTGTAATTTATGGTTGATGTTCAAAATGCTTATCAATAACCGCGCTGATTAGTTACGACCTCTGATATAGAAAACAGATTTCTGCTGATTGCTATTTTTGTCACCTGGCCAGCCAAAGTTCGGACGCCTGTGCAAGGTTTGTAACTTCTGGCGTGCACGACATTCCTGAACATAATTTCTGCGCAGTATAACCGTGAAATAGTAAATGATCTCCACCAGGGATAGCATGCTCATGCCCACAAATAGGCTGAATGCGCTGCCCAGATTTGCTGGCGGGGAAGAGATCGAGTTTTTACACAGTCAAGTGTTATCCAAAACTTAACTTACAGACTAGGGTGACCATATTTGAGAGCAAATCGACGCGCACACGTCGATAAACTTGCGAATTGAGAAAAATGTGAACGATGGCATCGTTTTTCTCGATGCCGGTGCTGTGAATCGGAGTGCTTATAGAAGATTGGATCAATCAGTACCGAGCAAGTACTCACTAGAAAGGATCAACCACGGGCATATTCAGCATCAGAGCGAAGTTCGACATTTGGACATCGTAGTCAAAGTGCTCACAGGTTAAAGGACAATTGCACTGTGTCTTTTTCCTCCGTGTTATGATATCGGCTATAGGAAAGCAAAGGAGTTAATTAATCTAAGCGATTGTGAGCTTTCACTGTGAAAGTAGAAAACAAGTGGCAAATACCTGTAATCTAGTTTGAGATACCTACGAAAATTATCCACCAGGCAGGGTATATCGCGAAAGGTGCAAACGCGATCTTTGGTGCGATTGAACTCAAAGAAATAGGTGTGACAACCGCAGAGCTTGACCATATTTTTAGCGCGACAGTTGAGCTCACAGTTGGGATAAACATAATCCGAAAAGTAGCGCAAACGAAACTCTTGGCGAAAGACGCAGTTCCTCTGCGCAATGGGCAGTGCCTTGACCGCCTCTGAACAGAAGGTCTCCACAACACGCAGCGTGGCAAAGGATTCCGTGTTGAGACCAAGAAACTTGCAATCGGCATGGGCGCTGGGAAAGGCGTCTGTCTCCTGGATGAGCAGCTTAAAGCCATGTGAATAGGATTGCAGTGCATCATAATTTTCATCCTTGTAGCGCAATATTAAGGATAGCCCATTGTCCAGACCGCCAGCCGCCGCTTGGGCAGTGAAATCGAGGCTGATGGGGTGGAAAGCATTGCAAAACCATTCGATAAGCGGTTTTTTGTAGGCTTACCCGTGCTGTCGCAGATTGAAGGAGCAGCAGTGCCCAAAGAAGGTCTTCGATAGCTGAAAAAGTTGCGTGCAGTCCATAATGTCTCCATGATAACGACAACGATGCAGTAGCTCATGGCAATCCCAGCGCAGTCGATCCACAAACTGCACCATGGTCAAATTATTGTCCAGCAGCACAGATTCCATCAGTTCAATCTCTGCGGGCGAGAAGCGAGCATCGTCCAGCATGAAGCCGCTAAAGATGTGCAAATGCTGCAGCACATCCGCCACCTGGACACCCTCCGGTAGCTGGCTAAAAGTGGAAGTTTGCTATAGAGATGATGCAGTGCAGCATGTCTGCGTTTACCCACAGTGTCTCAATGTAAGCCTTGGACTTGTCCATGTTGAACAGCACCTCGGGGCAGATGGTGATGGGCGGAAAGTAGAGCTTGCTAACGGGCGTGTGATCGCTCTCCACATTCATGCGAGTCGGACTGCTCCGATAGTCCACATAGAAGGTGTGCGTCATGACAATGGCGCATATGAACATGACCAGCGAGATGAGTATCCAGACAAATTGCACCAGACGATTCGTGTCCTTGTCGCGTGTGTACTTCAATCCGTGTATGCTGCTCGTGGCACAGAAATCGCACCAGGTGCGCCTCAGTGCGCCGTGCAAAGGCGAAATTTTTGGATTGATTTGGTCCGACCTAAGTTCCTCCTCGTGAACCATTCTCTCTGACAATTGCTGTATCTAGAATGCTTTGAGCCTCGACATTCCTCTCCCTTTTTATATGCTGCTTAAGTGGGCGTGGTTGCAATTGACAATTGACATTTGAACAACTGTGTATTAATATCAAATTAATGTAGCCGGTGGCTCAGGACACCCTTAACGCCCTGATTCGAAGTAGCCCAATGATCTGAGTCACCTGGTATTACAATACTTATAGAAGTTCGATTGCCCAAATAGTTTGACCTAAAGCTGCCAATCGAGAGAAGAAAACATTTGTAAATTGGTTTTTAGCAGTTATAAATTTTATTTGCAAACTTTTGGTGTCTTTTTGCTTGTACGTTGAATCGTTTGCTTATACATAACGATATATGCATATCAATATATATGTATGTATAGTAAAGTATATAATATTTTATTCATGGTTCAACAATGTTATTACTTAATTCACTTCAATTGAATTGACATTATTTATGTAAAAAGAAAAACTAAACTCTCTGCTATCACAATAAGAAACTACGCATTTTAAATGGTAGACAATTGAATACCCTTCTCAGGCACTGCACTGCCAAAAATTGTTTAACTACGTTAACAAAATGTGACTTTAATTTTATTTTGTGCTCGTTAGTTTATATTTTTTTGCTGGCTGACTGATTATTGTCTTTTATACGTTCTGTATTCGGATTCTGAGGCTGGGGCAATACTAATGCGCTAATAACAACTTTTGGCTTAGAGTATGATGAACTAAAACAATAACTTAAACTAGCTTGTGTGTAGTATAGTGTAATGGTAATTACTGCCTAGACTCGCTGGCTGTGATGGCCAGCGTCGCCGTATTGCCATTGCTCAGCCTTGCGGTTGGTGGGTTGTTCGTGCTGCTGGCACTGTTACCGTTCCCCAGACTCGGCTTGTGCTCATCGTTCTCCGGATTGTCCCAGAACTGACGCTCGCCGGAGCCAAAGAAGTTGTAGAAGGTGCCGCAAATGATGTACACAAACGCGGCAATGAAGAACACAATCTGCCATTGTCCCATTGTGGGCTGTGAAATTAAAGGAGTAAACAATTAAAAAGCTGTTCGTGTTGTCATATATATAGAAGTTCCGTCCCACTCACCTTGTTGTTGATCAGATTGCCCGCAGCTATGGGCGCCAGCAGACCCGCCAGATTCGCTGAGCAATTCGTGATGGCCATGAGGAAACCAGCAAAACGCGGCGTCAGATCCAAGTGATTGATCTTAAAGCCAGAGTAGATGCCACCATTGAGGCCCACGCCAATGGTGAGAATAGCCAGAGTCAAGGCACGATCACATCCCGTGTAGGAGGCGGCAATTAGAGCCAAACCGGGTCCATACTGACCAATGCTGTTGATGATCTTTCTGGTGGCCGTCAGCGTAAAGCGCTTTGAGCTGATCATCCAATCCGCAACCACCGATATGAACATGGAGAAGAGCCACATGGCCAGATAGGGCAGCGAGCTGAGCAGACCGTTGGATTTCAGGGAGAAACGCAACACCTGCTTCATGTATGTGGGCAGTTCCGTCATTAGCGTCTCGTAGCCATAGTTGTGGCCCATGTGGGCGAAGAGAATCGCATAGAAAGGCAGCGACTTGATGATGGCCTTGAACGGAATGGGTGGGCTCTAAGGGGGAGAAAGAGGACAAACATTAGCTTTCTGAGGTGGTTGGCCAGATGAAGAGCTGCTCTCACCTTGATCACATCTGTGCCCCACAGCGAGTCGTTGATGTAACGCTTCTCACGCTCATCGATGCGCGGATGCGACGAGGGATCCTCATAGATCAGAATGAGAAAAGCAATAGACCAGATCGTGCCCACCACACCAAACACATAGAAGATCGACGGCCAGCCACCGGAGAAACCATATTCCGCCAGCAGACCAGACAGCGGCATGGAGATAATCGTGCCAAACTGAGCGCCTGCATAGACTGCAGCGCCCATCCGGGAGCGTTCATTGGGCGGTATCCACTTGGCCAGCAGAGCATGTGTGCAGGGCACAATAGGTCCCTCGCCCAGGCCCTGAATAAAGCGCACAGCACACAAACCGTATACGCCGCCCTCGCGAGCTGCCACCGGCACCACAAAGGCGAACACCGAATTGATGAGCATGCCCCAGCCGAGGAAGCGCAGGGCGCCGTATTTCTTGGCCAATATGCCAAAGGGTATCTGCGTGATCACGTAGCCATAGAAGAAGGAGGACAGTATATAGCCCTGCAAGCTGGAGCTCCAGGGAAACTCGCCGTCCTCGCCATTGTCCTAAAACCGATAAGTGAGGTTAGAGACAGTTCGAATGTTATCGATATTTAAACTTACAACTTCCAATTCACGATCACCGCACTCATCGTCGAGTATCTCCTCGCCCTGCTGAATCGCCGTGTGGTTCACCATAGCCACAATAGCCACCGACATATTGGTGCGCATCACGTACGCATTGGCCATGCCCAGAAAGAGCATGAATGTGACAAAATAGCGGGTGGTGGCCCAACCTGCAAACAGATAAATAAGAGAACATGTAGTTGACGTCGAAGAAACTGTTCGAATGGATCATCATCGTTTAATTAGAACCAATTAACGTGCAAAATCTGTCGGCATTTATTTGCGTGAAAGATTGCCGAATAACATCTTAAATAAACCCAGAACGGAAATGAGCCCAACAAAAAATTAGATAAACACAAAACATAAGCGAACGAATCGGCAATGCCTGACTAAAAGCTGCCCTGCAACAGCGAGCTGCCAAAATTAAGGATGTGCACAACATTGTAATTGATTCGTTCTTGTATAATGTCCGTGTGTCTGGGTTATATTGTATGCCAATCTGTGTATATGCCGAAAAGCAGCACTATAAGCGTCTTGTTTATCTCTCGAAGAACCCTTTTACTGCCAGCTACAGACTTATACAGAACTTGTGGGTACAGGGTATATAGAGATACAGATAGAGATACCAAACGAGGTCAAAGCGAGGCGCAAGATAAGTCGCAGTGCCCGACAATTTCAGACAGATCAGATAAGATAGTATATAGTATAGCCATGACTCAATGCCAAGCAGATGCCGTGGATTCTGGACCGTTTTTAATTGCCTCACGTTTCTAGCTACTATGAAATCATGATGCGGGCCACTGCGCAACTTGAAGCACAGCTCGAACCTATTTCTAGACCAGACCGAAGCGAGTCATAATTAGACATTGTTATTGTTAATGTTATTAATATTGTTGTTGTCGTTGGATTTGCCCACATATAGAACCAATTGTTTGTTTATTTTTGCAATGTCATTCGACAGCCCAGCCGATTGTCGCCGCGCACGGGCAGGCAACACGTGATATTTATGTGATGGGTGTGGAAATTTCTAGTCATATTTGGGCTTGCCTTTTCAGGTTTATGGCCAGATTTCGGGCCGTTAAAAAAAAGTATGAAGTATTTATTTATTTATTTATTATTTAAGTTGAGCTGGCCTGGAGTCCGCCGAGTCGATTCCAACTATTTAGAAAGCACAGCTGTACTCGGAGAATGCTCAACCCATGCCAAATGGAATTTGAACTTTCAGCCATTTAGTTTTGCCCCTTTCATGTTTTTTGCCCAGCTTGTAGCTCAACAGACCGGCAATTTGTTCTGTTTTTGCTTAATTTCGAAATGTTCTGTTTGCTTGTTTTATTTTACCCGCAACATTTTTCCACAAAATATGACATAAAGCACTGCGGAAAAACCGAGCCAAAGAACTGCTGAATCGAAAACAATTTCGAAAAAAAAACAAATACCAAATTAAAGAATTGTATACATTTGCGTTTTTTATTTGTGCGCACGCAGCGTTAAATCGCACGATTTGCCAAAGCAGCCGCTGGCCTCCCTCGCCTTCGCCCTCTCCTGCTCACATGTTGCACAATCAATGCGGCATGCCCAGCGGCAGCACGTGTATGTCGCGCGTCAGCACGGGGCAACCAGCGCGACTCGTGCATGCCTCGACTATTTCGCTATGATCTAAAATGGGCAGCATGAACGAATTGCGGCTATAAATAATACGTATACGCAGCGTGCGCACTAAGCACTTAGTGACGGCATGTGTATACCCTTCAATCTAGCTTGAACTTTCTTCAAATACGAAAGCCTTTTTATTCTCTTCTCTTCAATTAAAGAGATTTATTCACAGCTCTTCAATGCACTGTATGCATTCCACTTTGTAGCTTACCCCTTGGCCTGTCATGCAGATTGTTTTGATCCCAGACGAGGACATGGCCATCGCGATGGCGATGATTAAGTTTGCTGCGTCGGAAGGGCATTTTGTGTGCCTGCCTTGTGTAGAGGTTTTCGAGTTGTATAAATAAATTAAAGTAAACTAAAACTAAATTCGAAACGAGTTCGCAATGCGTTGCCTGAAATACTCGGCAGAACAGAGACGAATTCTCTGATTGTTGTTGTCAATGTTGTTATTGTTGTTGCGAATGTTTCACTTAGACTTTTTGCGCACTCGTTTAAACCATTTCATTGTCTATCTGTACTGCGGGCCGGGCCTGAACATGTCGCGGGTCAAGATATTACAACGGAGCTTATTAATATAACTGTTTGCTTAATGCAGCGTCGCGCGTTGCACTCGACAAGGTATACACTACTGAGCTGAGGCAGAAGTATTTCAATTCAAATCCAATTTGGAATCGACTCTGTGGGCGCCTCTGCGGCAACTGAGCGCCAACTGTTGCGCTTTCTGGCTATATAATAAACGCGGCCGAAATCGCCGAACGCTCGAGGCGCTTGCGCCGCAGCTTGAGAGAAAGAGTGAGAGAGGGAGCGAGAGGGAGAGGGAGAGGGAGAGAGCGCAACAGACTCTCGCACGATTACATCAACAATTTGAAGGGATTGTGGGGGGGAATGGTCAGCAATATGGTCAGAGCATATGTCAGCCACAAACTGAATCATCAGCTGTTGTTGCTGAACCTAAGTCGATTGATGTCAATTGCTTTATATATAGTACCCAAACGAGATCTATTTATAGCTGATAGACGTAAGCATCTCGTGACCGCCGGAGCACGGAACTCGACAAGAACTAACTCTTAATTCTTAACACGCGCTGCTGAGAATATGCCAAACCCAAATGCTATTTGCCAAATGTGCGGCCAGACTATGGAAATAGTACGAAATTATTGAGAAAAATGTTACGAGTATATGCTGAAACCATAGAAATGTGAGACGCTGCCAGAGCAAGAGGCCTGAGGCAAGAGGCATGAGGCAGGCAGCAACTGGCGCCATCGGATGTACCCATCACATGCCGAGGGGTTCGTATGTGTTTTACAGGGTGCTCGCTAAGTGCTGCTAAGTGCTGCTAAGTGGTATTCACTAAGGTCCCCTCTCCTCTATAATTGCTAATTAGGCACACAGTTGAGGCATTATGAAAACGCAATTCATCGCATTGTCAGGTGCTTGTTAATTTGGAGAAAAGCGCAAAAACTAGTTAAGCTAAAAATCAAAAGTCAGTCATACTGTAAACATATAAGAGAACAGGAAATAGTAATTAAAACTCGCTGCAGCGACAACTGAATACGCTATAAAGTGTAGAATATCTGTTAGTATAGTTTCTCAGTAATAGTTTCTTTTATTTCGATTTGCCAAAAATGATTTTTTAAATATGGAAAAAATTGCATTATCATTTTAGTCCAAAGATATACATATAAGCTACAATTGTGATTTTCATTCCCATCAATATTTCTTTGTCTTGAAATTTTATTCAATTTATTTTCATATACTTTTCAATTATTTACCATTCCCTTTTAATACAGCTTTAAATATTTTCTATATAATTTTTAGTAGCCTGCTCCATGTTAAAGCCGGTATGCTGTCTGTTGATAAATATACCCTATAAAGCGCGACAGTCACGGTTCTTCACACACACACACACTCACACACACACACATACACGTTCAAGTCATAACCACATGTTGTTGTCGAAGTCTCGAGTCGGCTTCAAGCGGCAGACGATAAACTTTGCAGGCATGCGGCGTGAGCACGTGTTTGTCGCCTGATTCTCGACTCGGCCGCGGCCGCAACAAGTTTCGCCGAAAGAAAGAGAGAGCGCGAGCGAGAACGCAAAAAAAGAGAGAAAGACGCTCAAGTCGACTGACTAATGAGCTGCTCAGTTGAATTATAGACAGAGCTGGCGTAGCGCAATGAAGCTTCGTCTGGTTGTGTTGAAACTGGAAATGCCGGCAATTGTTATTGTTATTGTTTAAGTAGCGCAGTGAACAGACGGAGAGAGAGAGAAAGAGAGAGAGAGAGAGAGAGCGAGAGAGAGGTGGAAAGAAAGAAAGAGGAACCTTGACACGCGATTCTCGTGTTGTGACAGCTTTTTTATTTCACATCGTTTCTTTTTGGCAGAAACTCAAATGGAAATATTTGCTGGCAGGTACAGTCAAGCGTTGAGCAATTAGTCAAACATGAGCACAACAACCATAAAAATAGCAGCTGCATTTGTTCTATTTCCGTTTCATTAACGAACCATGCTAAATAAACTTACAACAACAACAACAATAGAATACACTATTTAGTAACTGTCATTAAGAGCGAGGAGCGCGGGCTTCAAAAATTGTACTTCAATAAAAGCTTTAAAGCTGGAAAGCTTTCGAGAGTGCACTAGCTTGCTTACAGGCTAAATAATTCGTTGCGTGCTTTTGGGCGGTTGCTGAAAAAGCTTAAGATCAAGGGCCGCGGAGTTACGTAATGGCCTGACTACGTGGAAAAACAACGTAATGCAAGCACGTTGCCTTATCGGCGGGTTTATCTGTCATGTTGCCATATGTTTGTTCTACCATACACAAATAGATATACATAAGTTTATACATGGGCATGCTGTGGGTATTATTATTGATTCTCCCAGCTAATTAAATAACAATCTGCCCAGATTTCAAACTATTTTCTTGCATGTGTGGGAAAATGTGCGCGGGGCCAATCGAGTGAATTGTATGGGATATATGTATATTTATCATTGAAATGGAATGCCTAGAGAACCTTCTGAACAAAAAAAAAAAAAGTATATATAGCAAATTGGTTTGTGTTTATGATATTTACACCTCACATTAGTTTGTTAATGTCTTAAGTTATTTTATATTGTTAAATTAACTTGTTTATTTCAGTCTTATAAAAGCCATAAAGCGGAATTTACAGCTTGCGTCAAACATAGGCTTCTGAGAAATGTACACGGGGCATTGACAGGTGCAAAAGAGTTGGGCAAATATTATATTTATCTTAGCATATATACATATATACTATATAGATGTTTGCAAATAGTCAAGACGGTACGATTACACACCAGACAACCCAACTCAGCTAACTGACATGTGTGCTGCTCTTTGTGGCCCAAACAATGCGCTCAGTTGGTTTTAGCCAACTCGCAATGATGTCATATGACAGTAAAAATAATTGGTGAAAAGCTTATTTCGCGTAGCTGCGCTTATCCAGCGCAAAAAACAAGAACATATATACATATATAAATATATATATTTTCGCATCATATCGGAGCTTCGGTTTGTGTTGTTTCCGCTTAAACTGCCTACAGTGGGCCACAATTAAATTTGTATGTGTTCCCTCGTGTTCAGGTGTGTCGCTCATCCATCATTCATTCAATTTCATGTGGTTTTTAAATGCTTTTGTGCTATTTGCGGGTTTGTCAAATTGTTTTTAAACACAAATAGGTATTGTATATATATATAAATAGCATGCGCATGAGTAATTTTCACCGAAACTTAAAAAAAAAATAAAATACTGCACGATATTATCGTCATTAAAACAAGTTAAGTGAATTTGTTATCCCCCTCACTGAAAGTACGTGACAGCTAGACTTTGTTGAAAAAATAAAATAAACTAAAGCGGCAATTTTCTAATTTAACTGAACGGAGACAAGCTGTTAAGCTGTAAATTGAAATACAAAAGATCATCGCGAAGATCGTCACGAATTGCGAAATACTACAGTTTATCCAGGCATTATACGACTATACAAATATGATGTCGTGTGGGCGTTCGGGCGAAGGCGAAAAGTCGCGTGTGAAAATTAACGCGCATTTGCGAACGCCCTGGCGAAATCCCTATTAATAGGCCTGTGCCCTATTTCAATAATCAGATCATATAATGCGCACCGACATGCCAAATGGCAAATTGATCAAAATCAAATGAAAATGCAATGTCAAAGTCGGGGCCAAAAGCTAGCGACATGCACCTAAATATTTGTCAAACTGCCAGACTGCCAGGCTGGTGGTAAATGCATTAAAATATACCCTGTACAAATTTATAATGGGTATATACATTCAGAGCATTCGCAATGCAAATTGATAATGTTTTTTATGCACTTATAATTTACAAGCACTTAAATTAATAACAACTGTTCACTTAAAAGCTTAATCACTTTCTTTACACTGCTGATTGATTGATTGATTGACTGATGATTCATGCACAGCCTAAACCGAGAAAGCTGTGGGGCTGTGGAGCTGCATTCTTCACAGTGGTGCATACGAAAACAGTTCTTGTGGAAATTTATTTATTACAATCATTTAATTTAGAATCAAGTGCAACTCACAGTTGCAACCCTTGGCTATAGGGCATCTCATAGTCAGTCATTGCAATGGAACAATCTGCTCTCTGCCCTCTTAACGCCCCTTTCACTCTTGCAAAAGAAAGTGAACAAATTGCAGCCAGCTCTTAAGAGCGCCGAGAATGCCAAGGTTCTTGACACTGTGCGCAAATTTCCTCAACTGTTCTTGACCTTACACTCGAACGAGTGTAACGAAAGTCAGTGGCGAGTTTGTGACTTGCTTGAAAACTAGTTTCAATTGTTGTTGCTTTTGCTGTCGTTTTAACTGAAATCGATTTGCATAGCTTCAAATAACACGTATGCACATGATCACATGAATGTTTATTTCTTTTGGCGACCGGTTCCGACTGTTCAAGACTACGCCATGCGATGCCAAAAATGGTCAGCAAGGAACTGGCCCAGAAACTGTGTCAAGAGATCGCGGATCGCAGGTTCTATGGCAATGTAGGAAAACAAACAACCGACCATAAAATGGCAAAAGGTGGGGAAATTTAGACGAAACAGCTGAGCTTTTGTGTCAACAAACTATTCAGGGTTCCAGTTTTGAATACCGTTTCGGTTACCAACTCCCCCGTTTCGGGTCTCATTGCGAATTTGGCTCACGCGTTGACGACAACAAAGCCTCGTCTCTCTTTTTGATTTTTTTGATGATTTTCATTTATATTTATTTTTGTTAATTTTACGTATTACGCGAGACTTTGCATAACAAATCACTTCCGTTTCGCGGTCGCCTGGAGAGCTCGTCCCGGGATTGATTGTGTTATTTAAATCAAGTGGAATTAGCTGAAGTAGAAGGCGTTTAATGGAATCAGCGCCAATCACATTTGTGTGTGTTATTTCTTGGCAAAAGTCGAGACTCGCACGATTTGTGCCTAATTGCCGGCATAGACATCCGCCAGATACCAGATACTCACTATGCCCAACTAAATGATCGTGCAATTTATTATATCAATCCCAAGTGCTTCTATAACTTGAGTCTAGTGCATGACTGTGTGCGGGGGTTTTTTTATTATGAAAGTAATCAACCATTTATATTATTTATGAGTTCGGATGGGCTAAGTGCCCCCTCTACGAATTGAACCATACACACTGAGAAATAGCTTGGCAAGTTGTCTAGCTTGTCTAATTTAATTAGGGCTCAGTCTATGTTTAATATTCGAATAACTTTATGAAACCCAACATATATGTAGAATTTCGTTTACTGTCTAATAAATCTCTAGTTTTTGAATAAAGAGGTTTTTCTTAAGATCTTGTTGTATAATTATATTTAAACCAAGTTTTCACTTTTTAAATTTCATAAACTTTTTTTACTTTCTAATTTATCGTTATATATCATCTTTTCTTCATTCAATTTTTAAAAACTCTGAGCTGTTCTCATCTTTTGTTTATCGGAAGCGTAAATTCTCGATTGCTACTTGATTGTAAATATATTGTTTATATAGAACTGATTTGAACTGATATCTGTGATTATATTATCAGCACTTGGCCATTTCATTTGTTATGAAATACTTGTTGTTAACGAGTCTATATATATATATATATATATATTATAATTTAAATAACAAATGGATCTCATGTTGAACTTACCCAACTGCGGCTTTTCGGGCTCCTTTTCGGAACTCGCACAAATGGCCTCCTTGGATGCAGACATTTTGTGATAAGTTAATATATATATTACGTTAGTCTAAAATTGTTTACAGTCTTTTGGCGGTTTGGACGCGGAATTACACGAATTGCATAAGAATTAGTCAAAAGCGTTGCGGTTATTTCGCAAAATGCAAAAGTCAAGAAATTTATGAACTCTGGTCAAGCACGTCGCTTGGCGGTTTTTAAGACATTTTCGTCAAGCACTTAATAATGTTAATAATATTATTTTTATTGTTATTTTTTATAATTTGTATTGCGGTTTATTTCGCTGTTCGTTCACTCGCGTTGCCGCTCGTTGGACAGCTTGAAAGGTTCTGAACGATTAACGACAAGACGCGTTGCCTTTAAATAAGCTGGGCCGGAGATCGGAGACTGCAACAGTGGCAGAGACTGGGGCAGAGGCAGAGACTGGGCAGAGGCAGAGGCAGAGGCAGAGGCAGAGGCGGTGACTGAGACGTTTTTACGGCTGTTTACACGTTCAATTTTGATTTGGTTTGTTTGATTTGAGCTGTTGACTTAATCTCGCGAGAGATCTGCGCATGCGTCTCGGCTTCCGTTCGACGATTTGGCTCGGCCGATCCGATCCGATCCAGACACGTTAATCTGTAAGCAGAGCAGATCAGAGCAAACATCAAATTAGTATGATAAATTTAGCAAGATGTCGATGGCAAATCGCCGATCGTCAATCGCCAATCGCCAATCATTGGCATTAATTGTTTAAGTAAACGCGAAAAATGCGGCGTGCTCACGAGTTGATCTCCCTACGCACGTTTCCATAGTTATATGTTATACGATCTATATAAATATTTGAGGCAAATGTTTGCGATGAGTTGCCAAAATTGTACACGTTTTTTTTTTTTTTTTCTTGTGTGGGCGCTACGAATTGCCTTTGCTTTATATCGCACTTTGATATATGCGACATTTCAATTGATTCATTCGCAATTAGTTTAGATTTAGTTTCTTTTTGAGGTACAGTCTGCGCATTATTTGTAGCTGGCACCTAATATACATATATATATATATATATATATTTGTATTATTACCATTTTTTGTCAACTGTCCCAATATTTGTTCGCGCGGCTGTTTGTTAGAACGAGTTATAATTAACTCTTCTAAATTTACATAATTACTTGGCATACGCAGCTCCAGTTTGTCTGGCTCAATTCGAGCGCCGCTTTTTTTAAATAATAATAATAATAATATATATATATATATATATATATGTATATATATATGTACCTATATATAGCTCATTAGCTCAGCTGTTTTTTGTTTTTCTTACTTTCGAATTACATATCGTAGCGCGGCGATGATGTAATTTGTTGATCGTTCGTAACTAATTACAAAACATTTCTTTGCTGCCCAAATATAAAAAAAAAATATTCATAAACAAACAAAATTCAATAATATTCAAACTGGTTGCGATTTAGCTTAGGTAAATTTGTCTGCCATTTGCGCCTAATTCTACAAAAATTCCATTAAATACGCACACATACATACCGTACAGTACGTATACGTTATATTGGAAATCTCAGCTGGAATTTCAATTAGGGTTTTTGCGCGTCACAGCGGCCGAATTTCAATTTAGAAAGTATCTCGGGCCAAATGAAGCTGAGCTTGAGCCGCAGCTCGGAGTCGCCGCCGACTGAAACCCGACCTGTCGCTGTTTGTTTACCTCGTTGTGGGTGTTGTTTTTCAGTCGAGATTTCTCAGAATATCGCTTAAATTATAAACCTATTTAAAATCCGCCTGTCAAGCGGCTGAGAATATTGCCAAATCTTTTCGTGCTGATAAAATAAAATCCCCGATTCTTATGCTCTTGCCCAAATATCTATTTAGAACTTCAGGTCAGCTGCTGGTGCAACATAATTCTCTGACAACTCGATCGTAGCGTATTTTTTGAGAGTTTGGTCAACAAAATATTTATCAGTTTATACAATTAGCGCATTTTGCAGTTGATCTTAAGTAAATAATGCAAAATAAATTCAGATATCGAATGATTTTGCACTTTTTGGTAGCTGCTAAACGAGCGCAGCACGTTTCAGTCTGAAGATGTCGATCAGTCTGTCAAGAAGTCGACATCGCAAATAATAAAGAGCTGCTTCGATGATTTTCAAATCAATATTATTTTCGCCTAGTCAGAGTCACATTTCAACTAAGTCGGCATGTGGGAACATTGACAAATTAATTACATTTAATTTAATTATATACACTTTTCCGGGTAATGCTTGCTTGTGGAATTATAAAAAAGTTTGCACAAAACAAATTTATTTTATCACATTTACATGTGCCTTTTATTATTTTCGCCTCTTAAATTGATGAGGCAACTCTCACTTGAAGGTCACTGGAGGTCAAGTTGTAAGCTGTGCTCACAATTATTAACGTGTCTTCAAAATTGATTTCGCAAAACAAATTTTAAGCTAAGAATTAGCTTTTCACAAAAGCCAAGACATGTTAATAGACCGAAAAGCTTGGAGCATTGGGATGTGGCAAGTGTCTCTGGCCTGATTGTGTAGTCTAGTGTGATTTAGTTAGCAGCCCGACTTGGTGTTATATAAGGCCAGAAATCGGCTGAATAAGCAAGCGGCTTAGCGATTAAATAAGCCCTTGATATGCATCGGAAACAGGCTGCTGTATAAATAGAATTATAAATGGAAATGAAGGTAAAAAGTACCCGAGTTGAAATATTGTGGGGCTGCAACAACTAGACACGGTTTGCCTACAATTGCCATAAATATATGAAATGCATATTCAATTACGGCCCGGGCTATCTTTTCTAGCCGAGGTGGTAAATTCATTATATGGACTCTACTTAAACATTAATGCGCAGCTTAACTTAGCTGTTCATTTACCTGGCATTAAAAGTACATTTTCAAATTTATAGAACACTAGAAAACTTGGCCAGCATTGAAAAGGAATTGTTTCATGAAATTTATGGCCAATCGGAAACAGAACAACTTTGTCAAAGCTGCATAGCGTGCGCCCCAAGTATCTCAAGTGTTTTGAGTTCTTATTTCTCGATAGATAGGAACCATCGTAAATGTTTATGATTCTTATTTTGATATTGAGTGATTGCTGAGCAGCCCGTTTGCGAATAGCTCTGGCAGATTTATAGACGCGTTACAATCTGATTAACAGCTTGAAAGAAACAACAACAAAAAAAAAACGACTAAAGTATTGGCTAATAATAATAATATTAATAATTGAAGTTGTCAAGGCGCGTTGCGGCCCTATCGAACAGCCGTAAATCAAACGCACTTATCTGACCGCGTACATCAGATTGACGTACTCGTGCCAGTAGATTAAACACACACACACACACACACACACATGCTGGACACTAAGGGCGGATGTGCAAACTTCATTTTTTCCCACCGGCCAACATATGACATGGCCATAATTAAGAACTTAGGAAAACGTTTGCTAACACAGAGAAAACATTTTTATTTTACCGAAATCAAACATAAACCTTGTCCAAATGCAGCCAAGATAATAACTTCCTAGTCTGAGAAGGAAATTCTTAGTTCGAGAACTCTGATTCATTCCGAAATTCCTACTCAAGAATAAAGTTCCTAATGAAACTTTATCTAGAAGACTTTATGCTCTAGAGTCTTCATATAATTATTTTCAGCTAAATCCAAACCCTTTCTTCTTAAATCAAGTCTCCTTGTACACATTTCACATTCTTCCCAAAAATTTGCCTAGTTCAGCAACAAATACGCTCATAAAGTGTTGGTAATAAATGATATATAGCGGTTGTTTCTTTCCTATTTGCTTAATTATAAAACCATCAAGATTTATCACAGACTCATAAACGGGCCCTCCAGTTGCTGGATTTCTGCTGCGTCAAGTCGTTCGTCATTTATTCACACACGTCAGACTGTCAATAACCGTTAACACTTATGGCCCCTGGCAATACTACTTGAAAATTTTCCACATGTGCTTCACGATCAAATAAAATGTCGCATCCAACATGCGCTTCACGTGCAACAATTTGCTATCCTTATCTCACTCACTCTCCCAAGCGCCATTGGAACAGACTGACAGTGTTGCCGTGTTCAATTCATATGTTATTATAATTCTCGTAATTTATTTGACTATTTTTTCGCACGTTAATTGCCGTACATATTTGGTCGCTCGCTCGTTTTTCATTTCTATGTGCAAAGTTTTTTCAGATGGCGCCAGTTTTGAAGTTCAAGTGCAGCTGCGTGCAGAGCGGGAGAGAAACAGGTCGAAAGAGGGCGAAAGAGAGAGAGAGAGAGAGAGAGAGAGAGAGAGATAAAAGCACAATAGACGCAACCCACAATACATTCGTTTCGGCTGAGTGGCTCGTGATGCGCCCCATTGTCGATTGGGTATTGTCGACTGTTGATAATGCGAGTACATTTTTCCTTTCGAATGCATTTTCGCACAGTGGGAAACTATTTGACTTTGGAGTGTGCGTATTTGATTAGTTTATCGCGCGGATTCGGCTCTTACATTGAAATGCCATTGCGCATTTGTGCACTTGATAGACTTGTGGCCTAAAACCAGTTGAATTGTTTTCCACTTGTCTTTCAAGCCATGAGGTTTAAACTGTACTTAAATTAACTTACTGTTGTGGCCCAAGAACGAAGAGCAATAGTCGGTTAACTCATTAAACAAATAATCAATAATAATGCTAACGAGCATGCTAAGGATTCGCTGAAGTCTTCGACACGCACAGATACAGAGCGAGAGAAGAAGAAAGAGAGAGAGCGAGAGCTTTAAGTGCAGTTCAAGTTTGCAGCGTCAATGCTAATTAACATTTGTAAAGCTGTTCTTGGCATGTCGTCTGCTATCTAAAATTCCGCAAATTTGCATAAAGTACTTAATTCACTAATTGAAATTAAGGTGAATCGGAGTTAAAACTCACTCACCTTAAAGGCAAGCGATTGGCGAAACGTGCTAAACAAATCAACTATTTAAAATAGTTCGCATCAGCTGTTTCATCATGTTTTTGTTACTCGCCATATATTTGTTTTTGTATTGACGCTTGAAGACGGGCTCATTAGCGCTGGTCTCAGCGAACGAACGGACAAAAACAGAAAGCGGACTAAAGCTGCGTAACAAAAACAATGAAAACAGCGATTGCAACGTTGCAGAAATTTGCATGTGCAAATTAAATTATAACTATAATTATTATTATTTATTATTTTTGATACGATAATAAACTTTTCAAGCCTTATAAACAGACACTCACGAGCTTAGTTTTCCAACTGAGAGCACAATTAGTTTTGTTTTTGTATTTTTCGCGATCGATTTTCACCACGCGTTGACGCTATAACTTTCTTATTTGCCGGGTCTGTTACTGCGCTGCTGCTGCTGTTGCTGCTGCTGCTGCGTCGTAGTCGTCGTCAGTGGCAGAGAAGCGGCCTGGCCGAGCACTAGCGCTGTAATGACTTACTACCTGAGCTAATTGAACGTTTTTATAATTCTGTTTCTGTTTGTGTTTCAGTCGGAATTAAAACAGAGGCGCAGGTGGGAGGCGGCTATCAAAAATACGATGCCGTTTAGCTTGAATCGTCAGCGCCGTCGCCGCCGCCTTCGCCGCTGCCGAAATAACCCGAACGTCAACGAGGTCGCTTCGTGTGCGAATTGCTGTTATGGTGATAATGACAACGTTTATCGCTCGCGTTATAAACTATTAAATGATGTTTTTATTGCCTGCGGCAATTGCAGCACACAAAGCTTTTACTGTCACCATTGACGCTGTCCGTGTCTGCTTCTCCTTCTGGCTTTGTCGCTCACTCAGACTCCAGCTTGAAGCTCTGTGTGCACGTGAGCTTTTTACACATCTTTTCTTACTTTATGTTTTGTTTTGCAGTGCTTTCGTTTTTGCATTCATATGGGAGAGTGAATGAGCTGAGCAGGAAAAATAGCTGAAGCTGAACCGGTTGCATGCCTTAAAGCCGCGTGCGCTTGCTCTCCCTCTTTCTCTCTCCCTGGAACTCTCTCATTCCTGACACGTGCTCACGAGTTTATTCTAGAGTTGACTGCAGTCAGTGCATGTCTGTTGATTGCGGGGGAGGTCGATGCTGTGCGTGAAACTTGTGTGATAAGCAACGGTAAAAAGTCTTTTTTAATATCTTTTACAATATTTGCAGTTAATTGTGAACAGATTTACATAGTAAATAGTCTTATTGACGGCCTTCCAATTTGCACGCTACAATTAAAAGCCCTCAAACTGGTAAAGAATAATATGTATATATATGTATGTGTGCATACGACGTACTCGGTATTTACGGCCGTAAAGCGTCAACGATAAGCGGTCAGGTCAATAAAACCGCAACGCAAACTGACCGTTGATTGGCATTGGGCGGATCTTGCACTCATTTAAAAGCGATATCAAACTGATTTTACCCTATAAACAAGCAGCAAGCAGTAGGCAGCACGTAAGGCGCCAACAGTGGCAAACAGTTAAATATTGAACTCGCGATTTGGCCTTTATGAATGGAGCCGAGTGTTAAACGGTAGCGTCACATGATTTCGTTTATGACACAACCGTTATTAAGCTAACACACACACACACACACACATACATGCAACAAAAGCTTCAGCCAGGCAACAAAGCTCAGGCGATGGCTATCGGCGCGATTATTTGACAGCCTCAAGTGCGTTATAAAATGGGAAATAACAGAAAGCTTTAGAAAATTAGATTTGCTATGGCTCTTGTAGCGCCGCTGAGCAAAAGAAAAAACAGAAGGAAATGTATTTGTATATAACTCTTTTCTTACTTTAACTAAATCAATGTGGACACTATCGTTCGGGATAATCTCAGGTATTAATTATTTATTGAGTCTTGTGTATCGTAAACTTATGATAGCCCCTCGTACATGTCAAATGAAAAAACTATATTAAGATTACGCCATAAAAATACAATTTAAGTTTGGTAACTTTACAATGATCTACGGCTTATTGACTCGGAAAGAATACGGGATCTATCTTCACGACGTAAAAAAATTACAGTAAAAGCTCTCTTGAGTGGACTTGCCTACGATTCCAATACTTTTGCTCGCTTAAGGAAGATAATTGTTTAATTAATTAAAATACTATTACTGCTAACATTTTACTTTTTCGATTACCAAAATGATTGATCCGGAATAATTAAAAAAAAAAAACGGAAGGCTGTCAGTTAGTAAGACCGTAGACTGTATTTCGCAGTTAGGCAAGTTTTTATTGTGTTTTCTTGTAAGTTCAGATACAACCAAAGAAAACGGCTTTATAATATTTGTGTTAATACGATAAGTTTAATGGGTGTTAACTGACGGATAAGGGCCTCCTCGTCCATGATGACGCAATTGAATATCAATGAAGTCATGGCGATCCACTCTAATCGCCCTCTGATGAGTGGAGCCCTCTTGTTAACGCACGTAGCTCGAGGCGCGTGAGTTGGGCCTCTTGGAATCTTATAAATATATATTATTTTGAAATACTTGTAGCGCCGTTTTAATCATCTGTGGGGCCTGTCGTTTGACGCAATTAACTTTGTGGGTGCACCGATATGTCTGCTCTCTATTGATTATTGATAATGTAGGCATATGGGCCAGTATCAGGTTTTTCTTGGTATCAGTCGTGCGGAGTGCGCAGTTCACATGGATAAGGCTATGCTTCGAGGAGGGAGAAGCCTTATCAGAACAGATTTGAATTCTACATTGATTGCTTCGAGGGTACTTCTCATAATCAGGACTGGCTATGTAAAACAATGGCCGACAGCAAAAAGAGTCTTGATACCATCCAGGCACACTTTGCGCCCCCCGTTCAGCACCTTGAGCGTTATGACCAAGTAGGTTATAGAACATATGGCAAAGAATCTCACCACTCACACTATCAAATAATTGCAAAATTCTATTATAACGCTGATTAAAAGATTGCAATGCCATCATTTACTTCGCATGGCTTCTGATTGACAAGCCAAATGTGGCAATTACTAGAATTACCTGTCAAAATGGAGCTAATTGCAATTAAGGCGATAACTTAAAATTATAAATCAGCAAATAAAGCAAAAGTTTCAATAAACCGAAGCAGAGAGTGCGGAACAGATTAGAAATGTTAGATAGAATAATCATTTTTCTTCAGTTTGCAAAACTTATGAAGAGTTGCCAAAAAATGTTAACAATTTATACAACATCTCAATTTCCTGCCCGCTTCTTCCCCTTGTAAAGTTAATTTGTGGAACTGCAAGCCTTTAAATTCATTCAAAAATAACGTTTAGATATTAAGCTTTAAGTGAAGCTTTAAGTGAAAGCTTTAATTTGTCGCATAAGCTTAAAACTAGGAACTCGCTCAAGTCTTCTTGCAATTCTCAAATGGTTTAAGCACAAAGGAAGTACAGTTATTTATTCCCCCTATTAAAATTTAAACGCCTGCTTCTGTAGTCATTGCTTAGACTTAGTCCGTTAATACAACGATTTAAGATTAGCAGAGATTTATAGGAATGTTTAGCAAGCAAATGCTATGATACGAGAACGAATGCAATCGTTTCGATAAAGTGAAAATTATGAAAGCCATAAACGTGTAGAGTGCAAACTAATTGAAATAAATCAGTGCAGAGCTGTGCTGCACCTGATAACCGATAATTATAATGGCAACCTAATGTTGATATAACGACCGGGCAAATATGTCTTCCCATAAACCAGATCATAAATGTCGCCCCTTCCAATTGACTGACACTCCGTTGTTGTTAGTCTGGCATTTAGCTGGCTTGATAAGGAACGTGCCGTGGATCGGCCGAGTGAACCGATCACGTTCACGTGAAGTGCACGCCGTTCCAGATAGCACTAGGCGCAACAACAGCGACAGCAACAGCAACAGCAACAGCCACAGCAATTAAGCCAACAGCGGGCCCGTTGCTCATGCTGTTTACATAAAATGCTTACCATCCGATGAATAATATCTAGCCAGGCAGCAGTCTGTCCCCTCCATCTCCCTGCACTAGCCAGTCTTGCTTATTTGTTCGTTTGCCATTTGTTGTTATTATGACTGCTTATTAAACGCACACCCAACCTATTACACGATCCGACATTTCAAAGCAACTCCATGGAGGCTGTTGCATCTGCTGCCTTAGTCAGCTGGCCAGCGATATCTGAGCCAAATGCTCTCAAATATTTGCCCAGTACATGCAAGCAACTAGCTTGCATTAATGTATGCATATAAATAATTAAATCATCAAATGTTTATAGAACAGGCATAATATATTTAACATACGCCATGTTGACCAACTTGTTGGCGACTAAAAGTATGCAACAGTTCTTGGAAAATTGAAACGTGATGTTGATACTACAACCCGAAAATGTAGTCGACCCCATTGTGCCTGTTATTCCTGGTATTAATAAACTCATTAGTTCTTTCGTAACTGCTTCATATCTTGCCTCAAGTTCACAATTTGTTTAAATTATTCAAAAAACTCCTAATTTCTTAAAATAAAAATATTTTGCCTTCAAGTTGGTATGATCCCCAAGATTTTTATCATTACTTTTTCAATTTGTTTGTTGTTTTTTTTCTATAATTTAATATTATCTTATTTTTTTGTGAATAATGACAAGTCAAGCAACAAGATGATTGCTGAATTCGAGCCGGCGACCTGCCGCTTGTCAAGCAGATCCTCAAAGGTTTTTCATATAAATTTCTTACCACCTTTCAGCAATCAGTCACTGAGTCAATATAAAAACTGATGTCGACAGATTTAAATGTGTGACTCTAAAAGAGAAGCTTGTTTAGTTTAAAAAGGCAGCTGTTTTAGAAACTTGCCATTTCATTTGTTGCCTTGTAGTACCAGTCAAATAAACATTTTATATATGCTTCCCATTTCAGAAACAAACAAATTTTCAAAGCGACAACAGTACTGAAACAATTTGAAAAATACGAAAAATCTCAGTCCAATTATAATTTGATAAGCAAATGTTGTACGTAATTGATAGACTTTAAGGAGAGTACAGCACACGCACGCACACACACAAACACACAGAGAGACGTATAGACGCGATGCCTTGCACAGTCTCCAACTTTGAATCGGGCTCGAATCGCTATCGGCCCAATGTGCGCATTGGCAATTGGTTCGAGGACATTTGCCTGGAGGAGGTAGGTAAATTGAACAGCTGCAATTTATATATACTTATATATCGAGTCTAATTGCAGGACAAAATTGTCAGCTTCAGGAAGATGCGCGATCGCGGCGAGCTGCTGGTTGAGAAGGCGCGCACGCTCTTCGATAACTTCCAGAAGGAGGTGCAGCTGGCGGCACCCAAGCACGATATTACCATCGGCGCCACAATCCAGCTGATGCCTATCTATATGAACATACTTGATATGGACACATCAGAGCTGCATCCGGCCCTTTCGGTGGTCATCAACGAGCACGCAATACGCACCAGTCAAACCATTAACGAGGATTGCGAGCTCACTGTGGCGCCATCGGAGCGGCCCTGTGTGCGCAACTCCTTTCGCATTGTCAGCGGGGATGACCACGATCGCACCGGGGAGAAGCTCAAGTATGGCCAGCGCTTTCGGCTGGAGTGCGTCGAGTCACCCGGTGATCCCATACTGTTATACAGCGCACCCAAACTGAACAATCTTTCACAGGCCATCAACACGACCTTTAATTCGCGCAAGTACGGGGAAATCAATTTGCCGCTAGGCCTGGTGCATCGCAGTGTTAGTAATATGTAATACCCATGTACTGTTCGATGTCTATATTAATTATATTCTTGCAGAAAATCATGTGCCACGATGGAGACATACCCTCGGCCTTTACCAACTGGTTTTGCATGCATGTCGATCCACACAAACGCTTCGAAAGCGAGGGCGAGACCTTGCCCGTAAGTAAAGATCCAATATACAATTTTCTTGAGACATGCCCTAACTTCTCTTCTTTACTGCTTTCAGAGCAACTCGCCTTTGGTAATTGTTCATGCGGCCACGAATCGCAACCTGGCCGCTGAGAATGTTGTTACACAAACCCTTTTCGGTCCAGAGTTTTTGGTTTCCGTTCAAAACTATCGCAACGTCTACAAGCGTGAAATCTGGAAGAATGTTTGGATGATCAGCAATGGCCATCACACTCACGCTGCCGTTTAAAACCCCGAAGCAAACACATAAATTATCCGTACTCGGGTGACGAGTAAAAAGTCGTTAAAGCCGACACACTTTTGCCTTAACCAATAAACACAGAAGGCCATGGCAATTAACTGTTTTGCGAACTTCTAAATGGCCAAATTTTGCACTAGAAACAGGGTCAGGCCAGGCCCCCGCCGCTAAGCTACGATACGATACAGCAAGTGGGTTGATAATGTGCTTGTAGGAACTGGGTATCTAAGGCTTTGTTTACAATAAGCTTAGTATTAAAATGAGAATTTATAGTAGGCTGTATCTAAATATCTGAAGTGTAAGCATTTATGCACTCTTGAGAAAGATATCTTCATTTGATATCGCGACTCGTTTGTCTCTTATGAAAAGGCCTAATATTTTCTTGAACAGAGTGCTTACTTAACATTTTGTGCCATAATTGTTTTTATTTTTTGGCCTTGTTCGATTATTTAGTTTTAATAATTTTTAGCTTACTATAATTTATGATATTTTAATATTTTTTTTGTGTATCATGAAGATTAATTTTGGTCTTAGGGACCATCTCTTATGCCCAACTGTAGTCTCCAACCTTGGTGAGAAGCTTTTCTTAATATTGAATGTAGCTTGACCTATTTGCTGGTGTTTTTTTCTTTTCAGGGTCGGTACACAAATTCGCACACGGAACTGGGTCGGCCAAGCTCCCGCTGCTAGGTTGATAAGGCCCAAGAGCGCCAACTACGTTGACTATAAAACCACCAGCCCAGCCAGACAGCCAGCATAGTCAAGTACTGCAATGTCTCCGATCTACAAGCTACCGACTGCGCTGGTGCTGTTTCTGCTCACCATCGTTGGTCCTGGTGTCCAGGGTGCGGAGGTGCCGCGCATTATTGGCGGGCAGTTTGCATCGCCGGGACAGTTTCCGTATCAGGTGTCTCTGCAGCTGAAGGGGCGCCATCATTGCGGCGGCTCCTTGATTTCCGATACGGTTATTGTGACTGCGGCTCACTGCACAATGGGCCAGAATCCCAGTCAAATGAAGGCGGTGGTGGGCACCAACGATCTGGGCGCTGCAAATGGACAGGCATTTGGCATCTCTCAGCTGATCATTCATCCACAATACAATCCACAGAGCCAGGACTTTGACATGTCGCTCATTCGGCTCAGTACTCCTGTGAAGCTGGGCGGTGCCATTCAGACCATTCAGCTGGCGGATGCGGATGCCAACTACGCGGCGGATACCTTGGCCACCATCAGCGGATTTGGCGCCATCAACCAGAATCTACAGCTGCCGAATCGCCTCAAGTTTGCACAGGTGCAGCTCTGGGGTCGCGACTTTTGTAATGCCCAGAACATACCTGGACTCACGGATCGCATGGTCTGTGCCGGACATCCTAGCGGACAAGTCAGCTCCTGCCAAGGTGACTCTGGTGGACCATTGACTGTTGACGGCAAACTGTTTGGCGTTGTCTCCTGGGGATTCGGGTGCGGCGCCAAGGGTCGCCCAGCCATGTACACATACGTGGGCGCCCTGAGGTCCTGGATCAAGCAGACTGCAAATGTTTAGCTCAACTGATATGATACTTCAATTTGGACCCAATATGAATACCAATGAATTGTACGATTAACAATAAATGTTAGAGCTTATCCTCAGATGACACCAATATCCTTGAATACAGATTTATGAAGCCCCGATAAAGCACCATATCCTTTAATAATCTGTTAGGCTAGAAATAATTTTTGTTAAAATGTACATTGAAAATTTAACCATTAGCTCTGTCTTGAGAATGAATATCTTTAGTTTATATTGTAAAACAAAGTCAATGTTTCCTAGATGACTATCATATCCTTGGTTATATCATACCATTGATATAGTCCTGGTAGTCCTGGAACTGGTCCAGAAATATTTATGAACGCTATCTTTCAGCCCCCAGCTGCAGCCCCTCCCATTACGATGGTGTCTAGTTGACCGCAATGTCCTTGGTTATACCATACCATTGATATAGTCCTGGTGAACCAAATCTCCGGGAAGTACGCACGGAAATGGTCCAAAAACATGTTTAACCTTTAGACTAACCAGGATAATATCTGGGGTATGGTTAAGCCAAGGATATTGGGGTAAGCTAGAAGCCAACGAGAGGCTGATACTGGGATAGCTGAAAGAAAAATCATACCGACAATCTTGCACATTTCACAATAATTCGGTCCTCTAGGTGCACCTGGACTATATTTATATGTGTTTTTCCATTTTTTTATGGTGTGAAAGGAATGAAAGTTGTTTGCATTTTCGGGTTTTTCAATTTCAGTAATCAATTTATGATATCGGTTTGTGCACAATCTAATCGGTACTGAAACCCGCTGAGTTTGGTTTGCATCTGCTTGTGGTACATTTTAGTCAGGACACAAACACTTTGGAGTCACCATATTTATAGCTTTTCGATAGATGAAACAGGGTTTCAGTACACGAAGTGTTTGTTTATTTGTAACTATATTTGTGTCCTTGTACAGCTTGTGCAATTGCTTATGTACTAAACATTCACTACGCACTTAGGGTATTATTGTATCATTATCAAAAGTTTCTTGACCACGTTTATGGCTTTTGGATTGTACGCCAATTGTAAATGTGGGTACGATCGCAAATCAAACAGGACATGACAACTATATAGTGATATATGTATGTATGTTTAAGATTAGTGGCTAGCCAAGAATAGTATTATATGTGTGCTATTCGACCATGTTTGATTATTTACATTTGCGATATAAAATTGTACAGTATATAGATATTTACAGTCGGTTCTGCTTGTGACTTAAATTATACCCATTGAAGCTGGGAGATAAACAATTATGTTGGTATGCTGTGTGTTTGCATATTATGTTAGTAAAAAGTAGAAGGCACTATTGCATATTTGTGTCTTAACATTAAGTACCTAGCTCTATACTTTAGTGATATCCATAAGTCTGTCTGAACTGATGATATACTGCATACAAAAAGTATCCACTACAAGCTGGCGTTGTCTAACAAACGGGATATGTTGTCCTTGTTTACAACAAAACGCATAAGAAATACATTTTTTTCGTTTTTTAAATAAAAAATTACTAAAAGTAAGCCCTCTAAATATAATTTGGCATAGGTTTCTCCTTGTTTTCTTTCAAATGTTTCGATTTAGAACTTCAGCTTAAAAACAAAATAAATAAAAGCAAATAGCTAACGCAATGGGTGTGCCATATAAGTACATACTTGTCGGCAATTGGGAATGCTAGGGGCGGCGGGCACATAAGTAAATCGGGGCGAGGGGCGGGGCATAATCACCAAATGCTTTCCAAACTACAACAACAATAGACTTAAAGCAAGACTTACTGACTAAAACATATTTGGAACGCGACTTTTGCAAAGCCATTTAGATGACAGGAGAATTCATTAATAGTACAATATATGTATACATATATATGATACATATATGTGTATATGCACTGCACAACACAACTCGGTTATTGGCCTTGTGCAATTTAAAAAATGTCAATTACACACACACACCTCTCTCTCTCTCGCACACACACGCAGACACAGGCAAACGCACACAAAGTTTGCCTTAAAAAATTGTGCTAAAAAGTTTTTAACTTGTAAATGCAAAAATTGCGCTACGACTTGCTAGTTATAGAGTAGAACCCAGCTGGGTTAACTACTCTATAGATTACATTTAAATAACTATATTAATATATTAATTAATTTTTAAATGTGCTACGCTTGGAAAACTTAAGATCTACTGTACAACAGTCGTTCTCTTTCTTGCATGTGCGCTTACAAACTAACTCAGCTAAGTTTATCGCATTATTTAATTGGAATAGAAATAAAAAAATGTGTGTACATAAATTACTGATAGTATGCACTGCCTTCGCACGCGTGTGTGTGTGTGTGTGTGTATGTGTACGTGTGTGTGAGTACATGTTACTGCTTTAGTTAAAAGCCATGGCAAATACTTTGCTACTGCCTATTGCACAACTCTCTCAGGCCGTGTCATTTGATTAAAAACTATCGTTAACATCTAATCCTACGCCTACTACTGCTGCTGCTGCTGCTGCTGCTCCGGTTCAGTATCCTTGAATGTCCTGCTATGCGCGCATGCTCTGCAATGTGGGCACCAGTATGGTGCCCTTCGCATAGAAGTAGCCTCACAACTTGGAGCTATCGTAGTTCTCCAGCAGCCAGTGCTGGCGCAGATGCGAGGCATCACACTCCTCCATGATGAGCTTGTCCTTGCCTTCATTGATGGCCAGGCACTTGCCTGAAGAGCCGTGATGCAACAGTTTCGTGTTCTCATGATATGTCCAGAACTGCAGCAAATAGAAATGTTTATTGTATAAATAATCTATAATTATGTGTGAGTAAAAACTCACCTGATTGCCCTTGGAGCCGTGACAACCAAAGAGTATCACATCCTTGCCGGCATAGTCGAGACAGGATTGATCGCGTCGTATTTCACCAGCCTTGCTCAGCATCCAATACTATGCAGGTTTAATAAGTGGGGCGCAGATAAAAGAGAGGAAAACTTTCATTAATACAAATTGCGGCAGCAAGTGCGAGAAATTGTTGCATAACATTTAAGCCAAGTAGCCGCATTACTTAGTATTATTTAATATTAAATTAAATGCCAAAAGCTGCTACCCGTCGGCTGTCTGTGTGTGTGTGTGTGTGTCTGTGTTTTGTCTGCGGTCTTGCCATGATTATTTATAATTTAAGCCACGTTGCCAGCAGCTGGCCTGGACTGGGCCTGGCCTTTATTGTGGCCAAGGGTCACGTTGTGCCTGCTTGGCCGCCATTTTGTTGTGTTACTATTTCCGCATCCGGTTGCCACAACTGACCACGCTGATGATGTTGGCCATGTGAATGCCATATCGGTTTGTTTATTGCGCTTTGCTGCCACAACGCTGCAAGCACACATTTGTAATGTTGCAACATTATTTTCAATGCTGACATTTGTTTTAGGCGGAAATTGGTTAAGCGTTCAGTGAAATTGCCAAGCTGATGACTTCTTTTGATACCCTAACAATTGACTTTATTTTTCATTCTTTTCTTTGACTGCTGAGTTGGCCAAGTGGAGCAGTCTTTGGGAAACCCTGGCAACACTGGACAGCATCCCATAAATATTTATGTGCTCTATTGTCGTTCACAGTTAAAGCTTTTCTCGATTTATATACAGTCTATATATTGCTGCTGACCAGAACCTCTATATTGGTTTATTGTAAAATAACTTTAAATATTAATATTTAGTAGTTGAGCTGATGAATCTAGTTCATAATGATTCATACTGTAGGTACAGAGCACGCATGTTTGCTCGATTTGATTAAGTTTACGCAGTTTTTTGATTGAGTAAAAATTTGACCGTTTTTTGTTGCAGCCTCTGCTGAAAGCAAAGTTACCAAAGCTAGCAACCGCAACTATATCGTCTATCTGATATGCATCTAAAATATCGCCCAGGGCATTTAATCCTTGACAGTCCCTCCCAATCCCATTCTCTTTGAGTTTCCACCAGGCGCAGTTTCTTTAAAATTTTCATAAATAAATAACAGTTAAAACTGACGTTTTCCATGTGTTTGCCGCCCTCTGGCTTCAGTCTCTATTTGCATTTAACATTTTTACTCGTTTACCACCGCCTGCCACACATGCATGCCACTCCCCGACCCAACCCCCTGCTGCCAGCCTGCTGTGTGTGTCCTTCATTTGCTCGGTTTACATTTGCATTTCCCTTCTTTAAAACCCTTTTTGCCAGGCTTTTCTTTGGTAAAAAGCTTTCTCTTTTTCTTGCAGCGTGTTGCATTTTTAATTATGTGTGTATCTTTTTCATTTACGTTTAAATTTTTTTTTGCTTTTTTTTTGGTATTTTTACACTTCGGTTTTTTATAAGCGCTGTAGCAACATTTTTGCGCTACAATTTTTTCAAATTTTTTCTAGACCCGCTCGCAGATATGAAAATGAAAATTTTTTCATTATATTGCGCGGCTTTTTAGTTGTTTTTGTTGCCGGCACAGGACTGGGCTAGCCGAGAGATCCTTTGACGCGGCGCTAGTCAAAAGAATTGTGCAATTTCTGCTGCTCCTCCGCGCAGCCCCTGCCCATGCAAATAGTTTTTTTTCCTCCCCTCACCACATTTTATGTTGTTGGCAATGCGCAAAATTAAAATTTGCCACGCCCACACATTTGGTGTCCTCAACGCTCGCAAATGTTGATTATTTTATCCAGTCGCGTTTTCACATCCGAGTTGCCTTTAAATACCCTTCAGTAAATTGTTAAAAGGGGTATATGTGAACTAAGAACTAGTTCATTTAATGTGGATTTTACAAGCTCTAAATGCGCTTATTGGTTTTTCTGAAGGGTATTAATGTAGTCTAGCTAGCTATTGAAATGACAGCTTTGCTGCTTCTTTTCTTTCTTTGCAGCGTTTTGTTGCATTCCAATGGGCTGGGCGGCACAGTTGAAGGTGTGGGCGAGGGGCGTGGCAAACAGCCGCCTGGCGATTTTTCGTGCGTTTTTGTGCGCTGCACGACGCGCAACGAGGTCAACACTTTCCATTTAATGTTGAATAAACAAGAGAGGACCACAGAATACATCTATGTGTGTGTGTGTGTACCTCACGTGCGTGCGTGGATGTGTGTGTTTAGAGTTTTTCTCCCTCTATGCGTGTGTGTATGTGTGTGCTTTGCAGTTGATTTGTTTTTGTTGTCGAAATGCTTGTTATTAAATGTTCGTAAAATTGTCACAGTTTTTCCTGCTACTGCTGCTGTTACTGCTGTTGTTGTTGTTGTTGTTGCTGCTGTTGCAGTTATTGCTGTTGTTGTTGCAGTTGCTGTTGCTGGTTGTGTAAAAGTCTCATACTACACGCAGCCGGCAAAAGCAGAGCCATGGAAATGATTTATCATTTTTGTCATTTTATTTATGATTGCGATTTAATTAATTTTGCTACGTTGCATAAATCTCAATACCCAATGCGTGTGTATTTGTGTGTGTGTCTGTCGTGTCTGCCTGTTGTGTCCTGTATTATTGTCAATGCAGTTTGCACGCCATTTTGGCAACATTCTTTATGTGGCAAAAACAAAAACAATTTGATAATAAAGACTTTCACTTAGGCTACGGCTAAAGGTTAAAAAAATGCTAAAAACGTTGAAAATTTTAAGAAAACGTTAACAAAGAACAACAAGTTTTTCTTAAACCACAAACTCCGTGAAATTAGTGCTCAAAACCGCAGGACTATCATAATTTTGTTGAATATTAGACGAAGTATGAGGCTAAGGAATTTTTAAAATTTCCATAAAAAAGAGATTAACAAGCTCCCAGGGCCAGAATCGTAACAACGCAGTAGGGGGAAACATTCACAAAAATCAAAGTGGGGAATTTTATTCGGAAGATATGATTATACACTTAAATGTTGGCCTGAAAATTATTAGAATGGATTAGAGCGAACAGGAGCATTAGAAAGTGCTTAACACCAAGTTACAAGATTATTTATTTAAAAAGTAACCAGAGTAGCCTTCGGCGAAGAGCGACAGTGTTAAAGGTTAAGGAAATCTCCCGTATCTATCGATTTGAAATACACCAAATTTTTAGAAGAAGAAAAGAATCATAGCCAACTGCACAGTTGAGCTTAATATTGAAACTTAAAAAACAAAAAGTAAAACCCTTTTTAAAAAGTAAAAATGAAATTGAGAAACAAAATGTACTATATATATATATAAATATATACAAACTCAAAAGAACTAGCTCAACAGTTGTATCTAAATAAATACATATTAATATATAAATAAAGTAATAAATTAACGTTGGGTGAACTATGTTAGTTTGTGTAGCTCTTTAGGAGAATATTAGTTTATTAAAAAGTGTTCCCATAAAATGTCAACATATGAGAGAATATTTTTATCATTAGTTAGGTTCTTAAAATGATTTGTATATTTGTAATCAGGTTCAATACGAGTTTTGAATTGTGTTGAGAAATCGAAAATTTTGATTTGGATTTACCTAAATGTTAGATATTTCCATAATAAGTATGTATACAAAATCAGTACCAGTTAAGTGTTGTATAGAGTCAATTGGTTAAACAAGCAAGCGAACAAATTAAGTCTACAACTAACTACTGGCGATTATTTTAAGCAAAACAACGACGAAGCACTCGAACGACTGATAGCAGATGGAGCCGAAACCAGTGTAAAAATATGTTGATGACAGTCCACCGCCCCCCACAGGTGGGGGCGTGACAAGGCAGTTTGAATTGTTGGATGTGGAGTTGGATACCTGATGTCCTCCTTGGCCGTGGCACGGGTAGACACCGACAGGCGATTCGTCCCCGGTCTTTGGAGCATCGACGCACATGTCCGTGTTAATGCTTTTTATCTGTAAATTAAGTTGGATTTGTCAAATGGGAGAGAGCGAGAGAGTGGGCAGTATAACGGTGTTGGTGACAACACAACAGTAACAGTGTTAAAAAACGGGCGGCAGCTGTAATTGTTATCGTAATCGAGGAGCTGTGAGTAAAAAACTATCGCCCCATGCGCCAAAGTTAAATTGTAGTGAAATTAGTAGAGTTATGTTTTTGTGGGAGCGAGCAAGACTGTAGGGGTTCGCAGTCAACATAAAGACGGGTACATACATATATATATATATATATATATGTGGATACATCTTGACGGTTTTGTGCTTCAACGGAGTTTGTGGCGGTCGCAGTGCTGTTGTTCTTCGCTGCTGGTGGTAACAAACCTGATTGCCACCTTGCTTGTGGCACGGATATAGGCCAACAGGCTTCTTCATGTTCCGCTTGCCCGTCGGCGAGTCCAAGCAGGTGCGACCGCCATAACCTAAGTTCCTTATCTGCGAATTGGGAAATATACATGTATGTGTTTTGTTCGTTTTGTTATAACCATAAAATGGCACATTAATGGGTTAGTTGAATTGTCTGTATTCGAAACGGTGGGTATAACGGGGGGAGGATAGGGCCATATCTCCGATATTTAGCCGCTTTCCACACATGCCACATGCTGCACGATAGCTGCGTGCCTACAGAAGAGGAACACGTGCAACTTACCTCGCCATTGGCCACCGCATCGCCGGGTATGAAGAGCTCCGGATAAATGTTGTCCAAATACCATTTGAAAGATTTACACTGCAGATCCTCGCTAGAGTTAAAAAAAATGAGGGATAGACCAAGCAATTAATAGATTAGATTTTGGTTCTAATTGGTTACAAAAATAGCTTTAAATATAGCTAAAATTTTATTCCTTTGCTCTTTCGTAATTTGAAAAAATTACTGTGCAACTAGTCAAAGCATGACTAGTATTTAATAAACTCACTAACGACTCGAATGAAACATTTGACGGACTAAGCTTTAGCTATTCCTTGTATAGTGTCCTTTTATTAGCAAAATAAATATATTTTTATTTCTTATTTTAGGTTTGTTTTTTTTACTAAATTTCCAAATACCCCCAATTAATTGTCTTTATATATCTTTATTTACACTATGCGCTCTGGCATTTTCATCAGCTTAGCTTATATAAAATCTATCTCACTTTCTGTGGGTACTTACCGCAGCTTCTTGCGTTCGCTAACGTCGCCGTAGTCGCCTTTATCCATGCCAATGCGCTGAAGATAATACTTGGAGTAATCATCCATCCAGACCTCAGCGAGACGAACCGAATTCTTTTTCAGCACATTCACGCCCGTGCGCCACTGCAAGAGATGGATATGAAGACAGCTGAATTTACATAGCAACAATTGGGCTGCAACTGGCACAACAAAGCAGCGGCGCCAAAAGCCAGTGAAAATATTTGGCAAACAAACAGTTCGGGCTTATACAATGGAGTTGAATCTGAATCAAAAGCTGCAGCTGAAGCTTATCGTAAGCCCGAGTGGGCAAGGAGGGCGCGGCAGGGCAGCCTAATTACCTGAATGAGTCGGTTAACGTAATGTGTACCAACTTCTGCCGGTTGTCCACTTGCTGCTGCAGCGGCAGCTGCTGTTGGTTGCTTTTGTGGTGCGTCTCTGCGGTTATCTGTCTTCACCAACCCACTTTTTACCCCGTCCCTTGTATGCCCAACTGCGCATTGTTGTTGTTTATGCATTTACTGTGTGTGTGTTCGTGTTTGTTGTCCTTGCTAGTTTTGTAAGGCCTGTGGCAAGGCACATATGAAGTATATGGGCCAGTGGTAAGTAGAATGCACGCTACTATGCAGAACTTGTACCCTTTATTCGCTAAACTGTCGATAATACTTGGCAGAGCAGTATTTTGATATTATTTACCTATCGATTATACACATTTCCATTTAACTTAGCGAAAGTAAACTGAAAGCGGGCTTGTAGCGCCTTTACGACGGATGAAGTTTTTTCGATAAATTATCGATTTATGCAATTAGCAAGTTATCGCTTTGATCACATTCATTGTTAAAGTATCGATCATTACAGGAGTGTAGTGTTTTTTCGATATGTTATCGAGTTGCAGTCTTACTACTGGATTCTTAATCGCTTTATAAAGTTTGAAGAAACTTTTAGCATAGTCTACATTTTGTAATGAATCATCGAATAAAATGATCAATCCCTACCTAGTAGACTCTCTTAGTTAATCGATAATCACGAACTACAGAGATTCAATTGAAATTCTGGCCAAAAATGTTGGTCACATGAATAAAACATGCATCTCCGATGCAGCTCCTAAATGGCTTATTTTCCCATAACTGTAGCTGCTTTCATGCTCAGAGAGCTCCTCTTGGCCTTACCCCAAATTTCTTGTTATTATTTTGGTGCTTATTGGCCAGTGCGGCAGGTATCTATAGAGTTCGTTGCAGCTTAATGCAGAACTTGCCACACTGACAGACACAACAGTTGCCAAACTTTTGTCAAGCGTAAACCGTTGATAATTGAGGCAACAGCCAGAGGCTGAGGCACAGTAGCCGCAGAGCATGTCCATGTCCTTGTCCATGGTTTGGGTCTGAGTCTGGTTACGTGTTTATGTCCTGCTGATGCTGCTGCTGCGGCTGGCATGTGTGACATGTGCACCGAGGGAACCACATAGGGCCACTGTTGACCAAACACGAACCTCGACCACGCGCACACACACATCTCTCTCACACACACACACACAGCTGCCTGTGTGCGCAAGTTTTAAATTCTCAAATGGTTGGCAATCGCCTTTGGGATGAGCGTTAATGAGCACTGAGTGCAGCAGATTGGGACATGCACACTTACCTTGTAGGGCGAACGCTTGCGGAATATGTGGCCCACATGGGAACAGGGCACAATTTCGAGTGTGCCGCCGCACATCCATGTCTTAAAGGACAGCTCCAGATTCTCACCGCCCCAGATATCGAAACCAGAATCGTAGGTGCCCAAACGCTCGAAAAACTCACGGTCTATCGAAAACAGACCGCCGGCCATGGTGGGCGAGTAGACAGGCTCCGCTGTGTTCTGCAAGTAAATAAGCAAAAGACATGTAAATTAAATTGAAGACTAGCGCCTGTACACAAGAATCATGTTTAAGTCTGCTTGGAATGTGCATCAAGTCAAATTGAAATCCCATAAGAACATTTAATTTCACTAATTGAAACCGGAGCGCATCATGTGTCGGCTCGTTTGGTATCTCAAGTGGCCAACACCTAAGCAAACTTCTAAACCCACGTCCGCCTCCTCCTCTCGAGTGCCCCAAACTGCCAACTGGCAACTCGCATCTGGCATTTTCTTTGCCAGCCAGCTTCACTCGGCTGCCATGTTCGCATACTTTCAACAGCTTGAAAACACTTGAGGCTACATTTTATTTAGTACACATTTTCCTAAGCTTTTTCGCACCAACTCCACAACAACCCGCTGCCCCTTTCCCTCTCGCTATCTTCATTTGTTGTCTCTTGTTAGGGCTTTCCACAAATTTTGCTTGTAATTGAATATTTTGTGCTGTGTATTTGCTTTGCTCTTGTTGCCTTCTGACCAGCCGGTCTGCCATTTCGACTGGGACTCTCTGGTGGGGGCGAGCAGATCCCCTGCTCCTTTTGTGCTGCGGCATATTTTATGCGCTGGCACATTTTGCATTTAATTGGAGAATTGCATTTCATTTTCATTGCAATTTAATTACAATTTTTGCTTGTTTTGCAGCAGGCAACAGCTGCCTGCAGCATTGGGCTTCAGTTCATGTCGAATAATTAAAAATAAATACTGATTTTTTCTTCTTTTTGTGATTTCTTTTATGTTTGTTTCAAATAAATGAGGAGTAAACAAAAGCCCAGCAACAAATGTGCGTAAATAATTTGCGAAATGTTAACAAACACAAGTTAATAACAATGCACACTTTTCAATCAATTATTTCAGTATTTTTATTGCGATTTCATTATGCAAAACAGTTTTCAGCTCAAAAGTATGCAAATCAAACTCAACGTTACGGATACGCAATATGAAATAAAAGTCATGTAAATCAACAAAAGCTACAAGAAAAACAGGCCTGTCAAATAAAAGCGAACCCAGAATGACGAAGAAAAGGCAGAACGCAGTCTGAATACTTTACTTGAATCCTTACATTATAATTTCATGAAATAATATTAAAAAGCTCAGTAAGTGATAAGCATTAAGCTGAAAGCTCAACGTAAAGCTCTAGCTGTGCAACAGCATTAAGGCAACATTAAGATTTGAATCACATTTTTGTTATAGTGTAAAATGCAAGCCGTAAAGCTTGCTTAAAACTGAAAGCTCTTAATTAAGCTTGCCTTAAAAAGCCACATGAAAATATTAAGATAATATTTATGTATTTTGTTAGGGTATACCAAATGTTCGTAATTGAGTTTGGGAAGAAAACACTCCATATGGAGACGCCACGTGGGCCACGCAAACAAAATCCCAAAGTCGAGGAAGTTTGATTTTAAAAAGAAACGGCAAAAGGAAGCGTGGAATAAATGAAATTGTCACTGACTGACAGCCTGGGGAGCTGTCAGCAGTGCTTCAGCTGGAGCGAGAGGCGCAAGGCGTGGCATATCGCTAAGCAACTAAAAATATGTAACTTAAAGACAACAACAATAGCAAATCCCTGGCGAGACGAGACGCAGCAACAAAAACAAAAGCGTTCCGCGCGGAAAGAGGCATGCGGCAAACAAACAAACGGCAGGCAGTGAGTGAAATCTCCAAACGCGACAAGTGCCATTGTGTTTTGGGCGAGTGAGAGCGCGTCAGGGCCAGAATGGCGGAATGCCAGACGGATGTCAGATAGTCCAGGAATGAGAATAGTGGGTGGGTGGGGCTACAGCGGCTGTTGGCAAATTCGCAGTGTGACATTTAATAAACGCTGCTGGCACGAGGCAACAGTGAATGCCACTGTAGGGGGAGCAGTGTGGAGAGGGGTATGCTCGAACGGGGTAAAAATAACAATAACAACAACAAGAACAACTGCAACAAGAACTACAACAAAGTTGTAGGCCGGCAGGGAGACCAACGGAAGCAGCATGCGGGCGACCATTTTTTTTCTTCTTTTATATATATATATACATTTGTTATTGCCGCCGGAAGTGACAGAACAAATGGCAAAAGTGAAAAGCAGCAGCAACAAAAACGCAGCCTTCATTCGAGTGTACGTGCGTGTGTGTGTAATATATGCATGTGTGTGTAAGAGGATTTTATTGTTATAGTGGCGTTTTTTGCTCGCTCAACATCCTCCTGAGTAAATTTTTTTGTATTGACATTTTTTTGGTTTAACACCCTGGCGAAGGGTATTATAGCCTTGTCACTAAAGCAGATATATATAATATATATATATATATATATCACTATATATATATATATATATCACTATATATATATATATATATATATATATATTCATGATCAGCTGTATCGATAAAGCTACAACTGTCACTCAGCTTGGTCGAAAGACTTTATGAACAATTTCGTATTGGAACAATTTGCAGCTTAGGGTATTCAGTGTGCGGCGTGAAATACTCTCTCTTGTTTATGGTTTGTTTCGTGAGCACAGGAAATGGAAGTAAAAACGAAAATAAGTTTCTTATGAAAATAAACTGAAATGAAATAAAATTCAGCGCTGAATAAATAAATAAACACCAAAAGATGAGGCAAGTTGCAGTTGCAGTAGCAGTGGCACTGGCATGTGGCAGTGGCATGTGGCATGCTACAGTTTCCATTTGCTTTTGCAGTTGCAGTTGCCGCTTTTTGTGCAAACAAAGTCGCATAACTTTTCGCTTTTGCCATACGTCGTCAACGTTCTCATTTAATGCGGCTTAAATGATTCAACAGCGGATAAATATGTGCACTTTTTTCGCCCGGGTGTGTGAGTGTGCGTGTGTGTGTGGGTGGGTTAAGGGTTACGTTTGACAACAACAAGCGAATCATTCAGAGTGCAGCATGCGGCATGCAGCATACCAAATGAATTTGTTTGGGCAGCCTTATGAACAGTAAGAAGTTGATACCCGCCAGGCTCAAGGGCTCAAGGGACTCGAACGGCTCAACCAGCTTTTCAGCGATGGCGATGAATTTTACTTGATTTATAAACCAATCAATCAATTCAATTTTGCAAAGATATGCCCAAACAAAGACCTCTCTCCGCATACGCAATCAAGCTTAAGCTTAAGTAGGGAGAAAGAATTGATAGAAGATACCCTGTGACTAGGGGTGGTAGAGCGGGTATTTAAAAATAAGTAGCAAGTTTCTAATGCGCACTTTCAAGGTAATAGACGGGGTTTCCATGGAAGAATACGTAAAGAAGGTAAAGCTAGAAGATATAAAAAAATATTTAAAAAATATTAAGGCATTTAAATTAGTTTAAGTATTTCTTACAATTAAATTAATACTGCAAGAGCTTTCCATGATCTTCAATGACTGTCATATATGCAATATATATATAATACTATACTATATATGTACTGTAGCTTCAAGCACTCAAGCCAAAGGGTTAGCTCGACATACCTCTTATGGACAACTTGCCAGCTGGGTATCTTAAGCACGGCACATTTCTCACAGGAATTCAATGGTGAAACGACTAGCCTATTTAGATATCAAATAAATCTAGCGGCATTTATTATGTCAGACAGAGTGCGGGTGACACCATTTTTGCTGAAAAATGACAGGTCCTTTGGCCGCCAAAGCCATTCGTCAACTCTAGAGCAGACAAGAGAGAGAGAGAGACAAAAAGAGATAGAGAGAGAGTGAGAGCTTTTGGCAGGGAATCCTTATAGCATCCTCCGCCGCCGGCAACCGCAAATTAAGCAGGCGGAACGAGCGAGTGGCCCAGTTGTGTGTGAGACACAAGCGCCACAATGTGTGCTATGGAAATAATGTGCTAACCTGCGGGCTGCCAACAACAACAACAACAACAGGCGGAGAAAAACACCAACAACCACATTAATACCAAATAAAACAGTCACGAAAAGCGGCGGGCGGCGCCAAAAAAAATATGCCTAGGAATATCGTAAATGTCAGGCATCGTATTATGCGGCTTGGTAATGTGTGTGTGTGTGTGGGGGGTAGCAAGGCACAAAATAGGGGCGTGGCAGACGGCAAGGGCACAAAGTGCCTGCGGGCTGACGCCTACTAGCGCCAGCTTGCAGCAACAAAATGTTAAAGAAAATAAAAAGTAAAGCTCTCAGGCAGGAAGGAAAAACGCTGCTTGACATAATGTGAAGTTGGCTTTTGACAAGTGCTCGTAGACACGCCCCCCGCCCCCAGAACAAACACACATTCCCAGTTTTATCTGCAGTTTGAAGTGCCGCTCAACGGTGCAGGCCAACTTGAGAGTTTTCATGCCCCTTTGCATCGCATTTGCATGAAGCAAACGCTGAAAAGTCGCTACATTCACAAAACTTACCAGTTGCATAAGTTTTGAGTAGAACTTAAGATCTGTAAGGATGCAGCAAAGCCGGATGAAAAAAATCTATCTTTCAGCTACAAATTCGGTTTGGAGCAGGTGCAGCTGGATTCAAGTCGTGCTTAACCCGCTTAGCTCAACTTAAAGCAAGGCAGCTCTCAAAAGCTTATTAAAATGTTTAGTGTGGCGTACACACACAGACACACCGACACACACACGCACACACCGTTGACCGACGGAGCAACTGTTACATGAAACGCATCAAATTAGCATAAAAAGTTGTTCGCTGCTTTGGTGATTTTGCTTTGATTACCGGTTCACTGGGCCGTTAGCGAGTGCTTAACGTTCGCCAGAAGCAGCCGCAGCAGCAGCAGAAACAGGAGCCGGAGCAGAAGCAGAAGCAGTAGCTGTATCCAGAACCCAAACAAAAAACCATAAACCGGAGCTAAATCCAACAGCAGCAGCAGCGAGCGCACTCATCTCCACTGTCAGGACTAGGGCGTAGTCAGGACAAGCAAAATAAAGGGTGCTTGGCTAGGTAAAGATGTGCAGGTGCAGAAAATATTAATCCGATTGGCTCGAATCATTTTATTTTTCTAAGCTCAATGAATCTGGG